TTCAAGGTGGGGGCTTCCTTTACCTTCCTCTGAGACTGAGAGAGTGTGATTTGTCTGGAGTCACCAGTGAATGTCTATGGCTAAGCATGGATTCAACCTTGGTCTCCAGAATTGTAATCTAACATTCATTCGAGAACACCACAGCAGCTCTCCCTATACTGTACTCATTTTAATTTGTAAATTGCCTTAGGTCCCAGTTTGGAGGGAAAGGCAGGATATAAATAAATTTTATTGTCATCTTCATCACTACCCTTTTTATCTGGAACAGATATGCCCTTGATTTTTTGAGGTTGTATTAGGATGTGTAAAATCCTGAGTTCTATTGTTATTTGAAAATACTGTTTAAAAAATTGCTTCAATAATTAGCGCTAGATGATTGCATGTTAGCAGACTGCACTTAATATGTATTGTTGTGGAAATATTAAAACGCCGTATCTGTGATCATACCATAACAACCTCATTCACACATTTAATTTAACTATAATTCTTTCCCAGTGAAACTAATGTGACAGATTTTCCCATACAGTGTAGAATGAATGAAGTTTTCCATACAGTGTAGAATGAATGAAGTTTGGCTCCACCATAGCTCAATGCTGTCAAATCCTGGGAGTTGCCTGGGTGTAATTGTTGTTTACGAAGAATTTAGTCAAGGCTAAATACTTTGTAAAACCACAACACCTGTGATTCCATAGCACTGAACCATGAAAGTTAAAGTGGTGTTAAACTGCATTAACTCTACAGCATAGATGAACTCTTAGATCAGTGTTTCTCAACCTGTGGGTCCCCAGAACTCCCAGAAATCCTAACAGCTGGTAAACTGGCTGGGATTTCTGGGAGTTGTAGGCCAAAACACCTGGGGACTCACAGGTTGAGAACCACTGTCTTAGATGAACAACCTAATCTAGTAAATCATGTTGTCTATTACGTAGTGTGCTTCAAACAAAGTAGAAAAGTGCTGGTATAACTGGCAGGGAGACTGAGCTCTACATAAGGAAGTCCATAACTCCTTTTTTCTCAACAGCATTCCTCCATCTACAATACAGCACTAACACCCGACGTACTCTGACTGTTTTAAGGGTCACAATGATATAATGCAAGTGTATGGAAAAGAGAGCGAAGAAGCTTTTAAAATGCTTCAAAGACTCTCAGCAATTACTGCTAATGTAAGCAGTATGTCCTCCGTGTCATGTATTTGGGATTCCTGTAGACATCTGGTCAGCAGGATGTGGCACTATGTAAGGCTCTGGCCTGAACCTGTGGGACTCTTTCATCAGATTAAATCTGCAGGGCATTTGCCTCCTTTCGTTATCCTGCATTTTATCAGGAAAAACTTCAACTGAACTATTTCACAGATTTTGGTATAGACTGAGGGGTACACCAGAATTATAGTTTGTTCTATAACGCGCAATGATGTTCATCACCTTCCTCTAGTTCAGGTATGGGTAAACCCAGACCGGGGGTGGATGCAACCCTTGGGCTCTTTTCTCAGGCCCTCCTCTCTCTCACCATCCTATCCTTTTCTTTCCTTCCTCCCTTCTTCCCTCTTTCTCCCTCCCTTCCTTCCCTTCCMCCCTTTCCTCCCTTCTTCCCTCTCTCCCTCTTTTTCCTTCCTTCCCTTTTGTCTTTCCTTCCTMCTCCCTTCCCTWCCATCCTTCTCTTTTTCCTTCCTCCTTTCCTCCAAGTGAATGTATTGCTCGAAGAAGAGAAGGTAGACAGGGAACATGTGAACCAAGTTTCAAGATTTAAAAGATTATCCCATTTTTTTTGGGGGGGGGGGGTGGTTTTCTGCTGCTCTAGAGTCCAGGGAACAAGGGAGCAATGGTGTCAAATGGCAGGGAAGGGTATTCGACTGAAAGATTAGGAAGAACTTCCTGGAGTGTGGCATATAGTTTGTTCAATGATGTTCATCACCTTCCTCTAGTTCAGGTATGGGTAAACCCAGACTGGGGGTGGATGTGTCCCTTGGGCTCTTTTCTCAGGCCCTCCTCTCTCTCACCATCCTATCCTTTTCTTTCCTTCCTCCCTTCTTCCCTCTTTCTCCCTCCCTTCCTTCCCTTCCACCCTTTCCTCCCTTCTTCCCTCTCTCCCTCTTTTTCCTTCCTTCCCTTTTGTCTTTCCTTCCTACTCCCTTCCCTTCCATCCTTCTCTTTTTCCTTCCTCCTTTCCTCCAAGTGAATGTATTGCTCGAAGAAGAGAAGGTAGACAGGGAACATGTGAACCAAGTTTCAAGATTTAAAAGATTTTCCCTTTTTTTTTGGGGGGGGGGGTTCTGCTGCTCTAGAGTCCAGGGAACAAGGGAGCAATGGTGTCAAATGGCAGGGAAGGGTATTCAACTGAAAGATTAGGAAGAACTTCCTGGAGTGTGGCATAAGCTGCCTTGGAGTGTGGTGGAGTCTTCTTCTCTGGAGGCTTTTCTGCAGAGGCTGTCTACAGGGAGTGCTGTAGACTGGATGGCCCTTGGACGTCTCTTCCAATTCTAGGATTCTGTATCAGAAGCAGGCAATATAGAGTCTTATTGATATACTTTTTTTCTCCCATCCACCATCTCATCCTGACCAAGGCTAATCCTTTTGGAATCTAAACATTTTCGGTCTTTCCTTCACTTTCTGCCTCCAAAAGAGAAGAGGAAGGGTAGGAAAGGGCAGGGAGGGGACTTGGGGAGAACACCCTCCCTCCCTGCCTGCCAACCCCACTCTGGCCCACCATGCGGCCCCTAAGTTAGAAAGTTTGCCCATGCCTGCTCTAGTTAGAAAAGAATAATTAATTAATGGGGCCAGACATCAGACTGTCTATGTTCACTGAAACTGCAACTCTGGGTTTCTGTTCAGATGTCTTGATCTCGGTGCACTGGTTATTTAGGGAAACAGGGTTTTCTTGGAGAAGGGGTCCCTTCTCTGCAAAGCCCTTGTTCTGATGGTCCCCCTGGAACTGTGAGAAAAAAAATTGTATCTTTCCTGTGTCAACTGCATTCTGAAAGAGGAACAGGACCAGGAGACTAATGAGATGGAAGAATAAGCCAAAGAGAGAAGTAGCAGGAGGAAGTAGTAGAAGGGGGTAGGCACAAGGAAACACTAAGCTTTTCTACACATAAGCTAAATGTGGGAGTGGGACTCATTTAAGCATTACCAGAAACAAAGAAAAGGAATAGTTGCATCACAGTGATTAGCGAATATCAAGAATAAGCAATACATGTTGCGTCAGAGATGTCAATAGACTAATCTGTATCAGCCTTGCACACCACTGTCAATGGTAAGGGATGACAGAATTCAGTACAGCTGTATCTGCAGATGTTCTCTAGTCCTGGTTAAAATTATCAATATAAGTAAAAAGCTAAAACAGGAATAGAGCCTGTCACAATATATTAGCTTCAATAAAAGTAGTACAAAACATAACAAATTGCCATCTGGCTTCACCAGCAACAGGAAATGCCCCATTAACACCCAGGAAATGTACATTCCTAATTATATTAGTATAATTAACTTTTAATGGTAGGTTGTTTTCATTACAGGGATAGTACTGATATATCTATATACTGAGAATATGAAAAAAATGCAAAGAATGGAACACAGTTGATCAATACAGGAGATATGCATTTATCAGAGTATCATGAGCACCATGTGAATCATCCATACAACAGTCCTGTGAGATAGTGCAAGTGTCCTACCAATAACAGATACAGAATAAACGTATAAAGCAGCACCTTGCTTGAAAATACCGAGTGCATTAACTGCTGATAAATCTGAATCATGGTGTCCCTGTGTCATAATTTACATTACACTGCTTTGACTCTTATTGTTGTGGGCCTCATACACACACCACACACATATATATAAACTCTAAAATCAGGGCAGTAAATAAAGAGCAACACTCAAAAAGTGGGGGAATTCCAGACAAGAATCAATCAGGGACATTTAGCACCTCCCAACAAAGGATTCCCCCAGGCAGCAACCAGCCAGGCTTTAAAGCTGCAAGACAATTAAATGCTAATCAAGGTGGCCATTTACAGCATTCACACTTGCCTCAGGCAGACAAGAGTTCTTTCTCCCACCCTGGACATTCCACAGATATATAAACCCCACTTGCCTAGTTTCCAACAGACCTCACAACCTCTGAGGATGCCTGCTATAGATGTGGGCAAAACATCAGTAGAGACTGCTTCTGGAACATGGACATACAGCCAGAAAGCACAGCAACCCAGTGATTCCAGCCACGAAAGCCTCTGACAACACATATCTATAAGCTTTGGATAGCATAGGAAAGGGTTAAGACCCCTGTAGTGTTTTTATTGCTGTCTGTGCCCCTGTTCAGAAGACTTCATTTAACTTTCTGTCCCAGCTGGATTCTGAAAGAAATGGTTTGTTGTGGAAACAAGGATTGGGGATAAAGCTCCAGCTTTTGTAATGATAACTCTTTCCAGGAGTGAATTTCCCTTTCGAGGGGCAGATTTCCCTCACTTCCGGTTGTCTCACCCTCATTATTAACTATCAGTCGTATGTAAGTCGGATGTTTGTAACTCGAGGACCGCCTGTAATTCCAGTCATTGAGCCTGTGTGTTCCTATCAGTTGCCTGTTGACTTAGAGCGACCCCGTGAGTTCCAGAGGGTTTTCTTGGGCGAGAAAGACTCTGGGGTGGTTTTGCCAGACAGACTATAGCCCACTGCAGCTGGCATGTGTTGGTGGTCTCCCACCCAAGGGCTAACCAGGCCCGACCCTGCCTCTCTGCCAACATCAGACGAGGTTCAGCTCAGTGTGCGCGCCTGACACACCTGCCAGGGCTGCCTCCTCCTGGCAACGCGCTGTTGGCCGGCTCTCCCGCCCAGGGCTCCAGGTGGAGGGCCCCTGGGGCCACTCTCGGCCCTTCCCCGCCCCAGGCCCCGCCGGCTCCCTCCCCACCGAGGGCAAGCTGCCGCCCCGCTGCTTCTTCTCCGGCGAAAAGGGGGAGGAGAGGACGGGGCCGCAGAGGAAAGAGAGACAGACAGACAGACAGAGGAACTACTCACTCAGCCAGGACTCCAAGCTCTCCCCTTCCGCCTCCGCCATATTGCCGGCTGGCCTGGAAGCTCAGCCCCTCCTCGCTCGGGAGACGCCTCTCCCCGCCTCGCAGCAGCGCCCCCTGGCGCCCGGCAGTGCGCATGCTCGCCTGGGGGTCCCCATTGACCTCCTCTTAGGACTTAATTATCCCCTTCTCCTTCTCTTTCCCCTCCTCTTTCTCTTCTTCTGCTCTTGCGCAACCTTCTCTTTTTCTTCTTCCTTCTCTTACCATTATCATTCATTTTCCCCCAGCCTAGGTCTCAAGGCAGCTTACTATTTTTAAAAGGCCAATGCAGTTTGATTTATTTATTGTGTCAGCAGTGAAATTAGAATACAGTTATAATGTATTAAATTTAGAATACAGTTATAATGTATAAAAATACACAAATAAAGTTCAAAACTTGGCAGTGTACTAAATTTTCTTTAACCAGAAGCTGGCCACTTCAAGTGCCTCCGGTGTTGCTGTAAGAAGATCCTCCATTGTGCATGTGGCAGGCAAGCATGTAGCCCGGGGGGGGGGGGGGGGGGGGGGGGGGTTTCAGCCCCCCCCCGAAATTTATTTATTATTTATTTATTTGGTGCATTTATTGACCGCCGCTCTCAGCCCTAGGGCGACTCGCGGCGGTGTACAGCATATAAAAACAGTATACAAAAACAGAAACAAGCAATCCACACAACAATAAAACACAATACTATAAGTTATACTAAATAATCCGCTCCGTCATATCATAGAATCATATCCAATATCGTAGTCCATATTCCGTTCCAGGTGTCAATTACCAGTTGCCGTAATATTCAGTTAAATGCCTTCTCGAAAAGCCAGGTCTTTAGGCTCCTGCGGAAGGACAAAAGGGAGGGCGCCTGTCTGATGTCAACAGGGAGGTCGTTCCACAGCCGGGGGGCCACCACCGAGAAGGCCCTCTCTCTCGTCCCCGCCAGGCGTGCCTGTGAGGCAGGCGGGATCGAGAGAAGGGCCTCCCCAGATGATCTCAAGGTCCTCGTGGGCTCATAGGCCGAGATGCGGTCCGAAAGGTATTTTGGGCCGGAACCGTTTAGGGCTTTGTAGGATAACACCAGCACCTTAAATTGGGCCCGGTAGCAGATCGGCAGCCAGTGGAGCTGGAACAACAAGGGCGTTGTGTGCTCCCTGCGTCCCGCTCCGTTAGTAACATGGCTGCCGCACGCTGGACTAGCTGAAGCTTCCGGGCCGTCTTCAAGGGCAGCCCCACGTAGAGAGCGTTGCAGTAGTCGAGGCGGGATGTGACCAGAGCATGTACCACCGTGGCCAAGTCAGACTTCCCAAGGTACGGGCGCAGCTGGCGCACGAGCCTAAGCTGTGCGAATGCTCCCCTGGTCACCGCTGAAACCTGGGGATCCAGGCTCAATGATGAATCCAGGGTCACACCCAAGCTGCGAATTCTCATGGTGGTCCGCGAAAAGGCCTAACTGGTGCATTATTTAAACTGTTATGTTTATTCATATCATGATCTGATAACCACGAGAGATAGGGCCTTCTCGGTGGTGGCTCCTCGGCTGTGGAACACCCTTCCCGTGGACATCAGGCTAGCCCCCTCCCTGTTAATATTCCGCAGGAAGTTAAAGACGTGGCTATTTAAGAAGGCATTTGATCAAGAAGTGCAATGACTGGTAATTGACCATAGGAATGGAACAACGGAAATGATATCAGATTGTGGCTTGACGATGAGACGATTCGGAATGTAGTAGTAATTTTGTAATAATGTTGTTGTTTTGATAAGATGTTTTTTATGATTATGATGAATTGTGGACTATTCTGCACTGTTTTGTAAATTGCACTTGTTTTTTCATGTTGTACACCGCAATGAGTCGCCCTTGGGCAGAGAATTGCGGTATATAAGTGCAGTAAATAAATAAATAAATAAATAAACCATACTCAATATATCCCATATGCATAGGGGTATTGGGGTAATGATACAAAAGGTTTGCTAGGCTAGACCCTCTTTCACTCAGACTCAGCCCCCCCGAAACTCAGCCCCCCCTGAAACCCCTGAAAAAAATTCAGCCCCCCCCCCCCAAAACGAAATCCTGGCTACGGGCCTGGTGGCAGGTCTCAAACCGCATTGTAGTATGTGGTCTGTAGTTTGCTCTTATACACACTTACATTTTGTGAACTCCACTTTGTTGCCCCATTTCTTAAGGTTGACTCTGCATCTCGTAGTACCAGAACAGTGCAGTCTGTTCAGTGCCTTCCAGATCATCCACTCTTCTGTGTGCCCAGGAGGGAGTCTCTCATCTGCTATCAGCCACTGATTGAAGTTCTGGATTTTCTCCTGCCATTTTTGGACTCTCGCTTGCTGAGGTGTTCCTGCAAGTATCTCTGTAGATTTTAGAAAGCTATTCCTTGATTTAAGGCATTGGCATGCTGGCTGATATCTGAACAGGGGATGGGCCGGATGTCAATGCCTTGGTCCTAAAGAGACCAGTATCCACTAATTGCAGTAATGAAATTGTATCTAAACACACAGAAGCTCAATGTATGCATACAAATACAAATGTCAATAAAACATAGGACTGTTAAATTCACAATAAACAGAAATAATTTGTTCTTTTCTTGAAAGATGAAAAAAAAATCTTCACGTATGTGGAAATAGTTTTTGTGTCTTTATTACAGATGAGTAGACTCTCAAGTCCTTGCACAGTAAATGTCCTATTTTTTATTACACGAGTAGACTCCAACATTCACAATAAATGTCCTATTTTCTTAATTACACAAAAGTAGACTCCAACATTCAACCGATTTTGACTCATAGGAGTTTTCATCAGGTAGTTGGGTTCGTTTATCAAAAAAGCTCAATATTTGAGGCAAGTGGTCTTAATGACAGTATTATTGAAAAGTGGATCAACAAGTCCTTGTTAGTATACTTTGCAAAGGCATTTTATTCTGTAGTGAGATGTATTCCACACTGGGCATGTGAACTCAGCAGTGGAGTAGCAAAGCGCAAGGGCAGATGTCTTCATTGTGTCATGTTGCAGATCAAAATATACAATAACTGAACATTACAATGGCCCTCCATATCTACTGACTCTGCCACCCATGGCTTGAAAACATGTATTTTTAAATAATCCAAAAAGCTTCCCTTGATTTTGCCATTTTATATATAGTGTTTTATTACACCTTTGTATATAATGGGGCTTGGGCATCCATGGGTTTTGGCATCCATGGGCAATCCAAGAACCGAACCCTAGCAGACATCAAGAGCCTACTATATTCACAATATGTAGATTATCATTATACTCCTGACCACACGATTGTGTTAAAAGACAGAGTATGGATCGTCGATGCTGCAGTCCCAGGTGACAGCAGGATTGAAGAGAAACAACTGGAAAAGCTGACATGATATGAGGATTTAAAGATCGAACTGCAAAGTCTCTGGCATAAACCATTACAGGTTGTCCCAGTGGTGATCGGCACACTGGGTGCCTTGCCAAAAGACCTCATTTGGAAACAATAAGCATTGACAAAATCACAATCTGTCAACTGCAAAAGACCACCTTACTTGGATCTGCGCTCATCACTTGAAAATACATCACACAGTCCTAGATGCTTGGAAAGTGTTCGACTTGTGATACGAAATCCAGCATACAGATCTCGTTAGCTGTGACATACTGTATTTTTGTGACAGTAAAATAATAATAACTTTATTTTTAAACCCTGCCTCCATTACCCCAAAGGGACTCGGGGCAGCTTACAAAGGGACAAGCCCGAAAAACACAGATTAAAACAAAGCACAATAAAGTAACATCAAAATAAAATCAACAAATAGAGATAAAATCAGCACATCACAATAATAGAACATAACATAAAAACAATCCCATGGATGAACAGTAATAAGTCACAATTGGCTTCTTATTCTTGGGAATCAAATGAGAAAAACCTGGCCTCTGATTTTGCCAGTTATAAAACTGACCATAGGAATACAAGGTGTGCTTGTTTAGTATCTGTGCCTGCCTCTACTCGCTCACAGCCATACACCCACTACCCAGGGCGCCCCAGAAGCCCGCTTCCTAGGCAACCAGAAGGGAACTCGTTCAGGCAATAGCGAAGGACAACCCTCTGCGGGGTCCTGAGGGCAGAAGCAAGATGGCGGCCCCCATGGTGGCGAAGTTCGGCGCCCTCGCAGGCGGAGTCTGCCCTCGGTGGAAGGCTTGGCTGCCCGGGTAAGAGGCAGAGGGGGCCCCACACAGGGCTCGCTGCGGTGGGGTGGAAGCCGTGTGTGTGTGAATTATCTTTCGCTGAAAGGCTCCAGTGCCACAGTTATTCTATTTGTGGCCTGGTTGGATATAGACCCAGATGTACACCTGGGGGTTCATCTACCAGTGGTTCTCAACCAGTGGGTCCCCAGATGTTTTGGCCTTCAACTCCCACAAATCCCAACAGCTAGTAAACTGGCAGGGGTTTCTGCGAGTTGTAGGTCAAAACATCTGAGAACCACTAAGTACAGTCAATGCATTTCATGAAATCATAGACTCATAGAGTCAGAAGAGACCTCGTGGGCCATCAAGTCCAGCCCCTTGCCAAGAAGCAGGAAAGTTGCATTCAAAGCACCCCCGACAGATGGCCATCCAGCCTCTGCTTAAAAGCCTCCAAAGATGGAGCCTCCACCACACTCCAGGGAAGAGAGTTCCACTGCTGAACAGCTCTGACAGTCAGGAAGTTCTTCCTCATGTTCAGGTGGAATCTCCTTTCCTGTTGTTTGAAGCCATTGTTCTGCGTTCTAGTCTCCAGGGCAACAGAAAACAAGCTTGCTCTCTCCTCCCTCTGACTTCCCCTCACATATTTATACCTGGCCCTCATCATGTCTCCTCTCAGCCTTCTCTTTTGTGGGCTAAAGATGCCCAGCTCATTAAGCCACTCCTCATAGGGCTTGTTCTCCAAACCCTTGATCATTTTAGTCGCCCTCCTCCGGACACATTCCAGCTTGTCAGCATCTCCCTTCAACTGTTGTGCCCAGAATTGGACACAGTGTGATTCCAGGTGTGGTCTGACCAAGTCAGAATAGAGGGGTAGCATGACTTCCCTGGATCTAGACACTGTACTCCTATTTATGCAGGCCACCATCCCATTGGCTTTTTTTGCTGCTTCATGACATTGTTGGCTCATGTTTAATTTGTTGTCCACAAGGACTCCAAAATTTCTTTCACATGTGCTGCTCTCGAGCCAGGTGTCTCCCATTCTGAGTGCTGTGGAATCCCGAGAATTGTCATTTGTGGAGATTCCAGGCACAAGTTGATACCACTTGAACTGCCATGGCTCAGTACTATGGAGTGAGGTAGTTTCACAAGGCCTTTATCCTTCCCTGACAAAGAACCTGCTGGGGCCTCCACAAACTGCAACTCCCAGGATTCCGCAGCACTCATCAGTGGTATTCAAGGGGTGTCAAACTGCTTTAATTTAACACTGTAGATCGGGCATGGGCAAACTTTGGCCCTTCAGGTGTTTTGGATGGCAACTCCCAGAATTCCTAACAGCCCCAGGCCCCTTCCTTTTCCCCCTCAGCTGCTTAAGCGTCTGAGAGGGAAGAGGAAAGGGCCTGAGGCTGTTAAGAAAGGGCCTGAAGCTGTTAAGCTTAAGCGACTGAGGGGGAAAAGGAAAGGGCCTGAGGCTATTAGGAATTCTGGGAATTGAAGTCCAAAACACCTGGAGGGCCAGAGTTTGCCCATGCCTGGTTTAGATGCAGCCTAAATTATAGCTGGGAAAATATACTTTGGCGGGGCACAGTTCCCAACATGGCTGTGGGCTGTATTCCATAAGGATGTTGATAGTTATATAGGTGCTCTGGCTAATAAATCAAATTGTGATGTGCCTCTCTCTGTCTTCCTTCTCAACTTTTTTACTGAAACAGGTTAATACAGTGGACAGTTAAAAGTATCATGTAATGGTTCACTTGGATATATTTATATGGGTAATTTAAAATGCTCAGTTCTTGATATTTATTTTGAAGGAAAACTGATTTTTTTCTACCTTTGAAAATGTTGTTTACATTGGTGTACCATGTTAGTTGCGTCAAAACTCTGCTTTTATTGGTTATAATAAATTATTTTTGTGGGGCTAAGTCATAAAATTGGATGTGGGGAAGTGGATTGTATACAGAATTCTATATATTCAGATGTTAGGGCTGAACATATTTGTGACTTTTCCCCTCTTTGCAGACTAACTCAAGTCAGGTGGAGTCGATATAGCCCTAGTTTCATTGAACCAGAAGTCAACAAAGAAGTCTACCAAAAACCACCAGAACAATTGTCAGAAGAAGAAAAGGCAGCATGGGATCTTAAAACAGTCCAACCTATAAAAGCCACCCCTTCCAATGTCAGCAGCTCTGTATTTTATGACCCACTGATCAGGTATGGATGCTGCTAAATCAACTTATTCCACTTATGTCAGGCAACAGTTTTCTCCAACTTATTCTGTGCAGTTGTTTTGGACTTCTATTATTTCCATCTGTGGATATGGTAGTGGAAATCCCATTCCCAAATATCATATAAAAATCCTGTTAACTGATTGGGGAAGGCTGATGTATGGTTTATCAAAAACATCTACAGGCAGTCCCCAAGTTATGAACAAGATAGGTTCTGTAGGTTTGTTCTTAAGTCAATTTATATGTAAGAACAGGTACATTTTAAGTGTAATTCCAGCTCATTCAAATCTATATGCATATTTGTGTGTGTGTGCGTACGTGCATGCACGCATGTGCAAGATTTGGATAGGGAAGGGTTAACAGCCACGTGGTGTTTGTTTTACTCCCTGTGCCCCGTTCAAAAGATTTCACCTCAGTTTCTGTCCCTGTGATAATTGGCTGTTGAAAAATTTGGCTTGTTGTGGAAACAAGGATTGGTAAGAAAGCTTTAGTGGCAACATCTTTTCCCCATGATACTTTCAAGTGTGAATTTCCCTGTCTAGAGGTAGATTTCTCTCACTTCCTGTTGCCTCACCCCTGTTCTTAATTGCAAGTCATTTGTAAGTTGGATGTTTGTTGCTTGGGGACGCCTGTAAGTGATTTTGTAGAATAGTTTTAGTTGATCAAAGTATATCTAAGAGAAATATAAAACTTTTAGCTGAAAAAGTGGAGAAGTATAGCCAGATGTTTTATAGTCTCAGGCTTTAATTGTGTTGGTTTACCATGATATGAACCAATGCAGAATGTTCCATGAATTGTTTTCATACCTCAGTACAATAGCAGCTCCAGAATGTCAGAGCAATATGCCTTGTGAGGGTTTTCGCCTTCCTTTCTCAAATTTCCCTAGAACACAAACTGAACAGGGAAATATGAAAAAAGAATAACTTGTAGTGATAACTTGTCCGTATTCTCACTTTTATAGCCCAGTTTTGTTAGCATCTGCTAGCTGTTGTAAAAAAATGGGATTCCTAGTTCTGAAATGTACTCAAATCTTCATTCATAGGCCCTTCATATTTTGCTGTTCAAGGTTATCAAATGGTGCAGTGATTTGTTTTTATCACCAAGTGCCCATACATGCTGGAAAAGGACATAACACCTTTAACCAGAGCACATTGTGCGGGCTGCAGGATCACAGTGAAACTGCAGATGTCCCAGCCACCTGTGTCATCACTGGTGCTTCTACACCAGTCATGATACCAGGGTTGGTTCCTCATGATGCTTTTGTCCTTCTCCTTCAAAAACAGCCAGTGGCAGAAGCTGGCAACCTACCAGCAACCCTCTACAGCCATTGAACTGAGAATGTAGCAAATGGATTATAAAAATAGATATATGTGACTGGAACTCTTCACCAAATATTGGTAAATACAATTTTGGCTGATTAGTGGAATGACAAAAGATTGATCATAGGGATCTTAATGTCACAGTGAGGATGTGTAGAATGTAATTACAACTGCATATGTATTCTGTTATAGCAAATTCACTAGTCTCATGATGAAGGGAGGAGATAAGATTTTGGCCCGATCCCTCATCAATCAGGTAAGAAGTTAACACTCTTTGGTTAGTGCCAGTGCTGCAGAAGAAAAAGCATTCCCATTTTAAGTTGCATGAGATAAGTTAGTGGGGGACATTCTTGTGGATGGAAATATTTTGTCCCCTTGAAACTCTTCAGGGACCATACCTAATCCCACAAAGCTGCTGCTTTAGAAATCCTTGCAGCTCTGTCTCTCCCTCATGAATGCCATCTTCCAGCAAATTACTCTTCTGACAACCCGCCAAACAATGCCTAATTCTATCTGATACAGGATGCATGACAGGAAGCCATCTGCATGTGCCTTTTCTTGGAAAAAGTATTGGGCATGGAGTGAGAGATGTGAATTTGGGATTTCCCAGGTGGCTGCAGTGAGAAGCTGCAGACTGCTCTTTTCTCCTACATAGAAATTGTCTGTCTCTGGTATAATCACAATCATTATCTTCTTTATCTTCTTAGATGTTTCATTTGCCATCTTCTTACTAGATGCCTTGCAACCCAAAAAATTTGCAAGGCATAGAGACAAGAATAAATAATTGTTTTAGACAGAATTGCATTTGACTGTGAAATCTGCCTTTCAGCTCTCAGTCCAGTGTAGATTAAGAACCTCCATTAGGGTCAAAATCAAGGGCCCTGATTGTGGCCAGGAATACTTAGAAGTTGGGTGTAGTATCTGCTAGTGGCTCTGAAACCTGAGAGAGCCAAGATCAATCAGATGTCCACTTACTGGAAAGTTCCTCAGAGACTATGATTTGCCCTTATAAGTACTGTCTGCCCAAAAGTTTGTTAGCCTGACTGTTATGTGTGTAAATAACTTTGTTATGGGATTGAGTAAATCTTGCTTGTAAGGGTATTTTTAATAGAAGAGCTTGTATTCTTTAAGAACTTGAAAAGTTACCTTATGTTAAGCGGGTTTACGGGTCCAATATCAGTTCTGCCAGGCAGTGCCTTGCACAATAAGCAAGTGATTTTTTCCCCCTAGTCATAGGTTTCTAACTTAAAGATCTTGCGATAGTCTCCCATTCATAAAAGAGCCAGGCCTGATCCTGCTCAGCATCTGAAATAAGAGGAGATCAGATGCAGCCAAGCTGGTATTGTTGATACACTTTTATATTTCTTTGAAATTTAGACTTTGGAAACTATTAAGAGGAAGCAGCTTGAAAATTACCATAAAGCAGATGAGAAGGATAAAGAAAACATTGAGTGCAACCCTTACACAATCTTCCACCAAGCGTTAAAAAACTGTGAACCTGTCATTGGACTTGTGGGTGTCCAGAAAGGAGGCAGAACCTACCAGGTAATCTATGAAAGAAATAGAAAGCATATCCATTCAAAACTGCAATTATGATGGCATGATGACTCAGCCACAATCAGAATGGGATAATCGCCCCTCGTCACCCCCACCCCCCAAATACAGCCATTATTATAATTGTGAAGGCACATTAAAGAGGCATCAATAGCATCATTTTCTTTAAACTGAAATTCTGGAGGGGAATGCACTTTTGGTTCCATCCACGTTGGGCTGGGAAAGCCATGTTTGCATCTGACTGTTTGTTTGGGTTTTTTTGCACCACATAGGTCCCAACCCCACTGACAGACAGTCGGCGGCGCTTCTTAGCAATGAAGTGGATGATAACAGAATGCAGGGAGAACAAGCACAGGAGGACACTTATGCCTGAAAAGCTTTCCAAAGAGCTGCTGGAAGCCTTTGACAACCAAGGTGCTGTAATAAAGAAAAAGCATGAGCTTCACAAAATGGCTGAGTCTAACCGGGCCTTTGCTCACTTTCGGTGGTGGTAGGAAGTGCGCTAGCTTGCCAAATACACCTTCTGAAGATGGCAACTTCGTTACAAGACAAGGATTCTTACTTTTAAAAATTCTGTATAGCTTTCTTTGCATAACACTCTTCTGGGAGGGCCATTGCGAGCTTCACATCTGCCTCTTCTCTAATAGTATGGTAAAGAAGATATGAGCTAAAATAAAATGTCCTCTTTTTTACACTCCCATGAGGTAAACTTCTGGTTACTTTATGGTTTAGGTGACTCAATTGGTACAGGCCTCTGCGTGTATGGTTTCTGTTTTGTTCCATTCTGGACTCTTTCAAGTCAGATTTATCTCTAATAAAAGTACAAGCTGTCTTCTGGAGTTCTGTAAGAAACAGCTTAGATATTTTTTGTCAAGCATAATTTTTGCCAATATTCAAGATCAGAGAACTCTAACACAGATGGAAGTCACTTGTGGGTGTTCTACAAATATCTATAGTGTATTCTGTCCCTCTTTAAAATGTTCGTTACAATAGCATATCGATAGGAACACACATACTGAATACAATCAGCTTCTTATAGGGAGGTCAGCTTCCCTTCCTTTTTCAGCATGGTTTGCACATGCCTTTTTATTGTTAACTTTCTGTGCTGTCATACCTAAATGGCTGAATTTTAGACTACATTCAGAAGGACTGCTGTATATTCAAGTTTATGTGAAAACAACTGGTCTAGCATTTCATCTGTAGTGGCCAATTCAGCTATGTAGGCAATCATTTGATAGTACGGGCATCCAAAGTGAGGAGGATGCTTGACTAAACTACCCCTAACTTATACTTGGATGCTAATCTGCAGATTTCTTAATTCCTTCACTTGTAGAATATCATGAGATTGACCTGCTGTACAATATTTATTTGAGAATGATGGCTCCTTGCTGGTACATCTGTAGAATGAATCCCTACACTGTGCCACTGATATCCGTCAAATGAATTGTTGCCCTGTGCCGTGAAGCAGCCCTACAAATACATTCATTGGAGTTTCTAGCTTGTCCGCCATATTGGTTATGACAATCCTTATGTAGCCATGTTGTACTCTTCATGTAAAAGAAAGAAGAGCTATATGCTTGGAGGAACCCCAAGGTTTAACTATGTATTTTTTAAGGGGGTGGGGCAACCTGAATGGGATGGGGACTATAAAGTATATATAGGTATATCTCAAACCGCATTGAGGGCTGAACATACTCAGTTGCTAGAGTGGTGACAGAACTGCAAAGTGAGGAGTGCATAGGATCCTGAATAGCAACACCCCAGATTACATTATGGTGTACCTGTAATACCTGTTATTCATTTGAACCTAAAAACAAGTTTAAAATGTTTTGTAATGCAGATACAAAACTACAGTAGACAAGTGGTGTAAAATGTTTATTTTTTAAAAAGTTCCAAAGAGAGCCACAACCTTCTTAGTAGAAATGTACAATACTGTACTTCAAAATAATTGTATAAAAGTTATAAAATTGGTTTGTTGTTGTATCTTCTCAGTGGAATAATTTTGCCAGAGTAAGGCTCTGGAAGTCCATTGGCATTATGTATCCTCCAGTGGGGCCCTCCTGATGTTTCTACCATGCCCAGCAGTGTATAGGATTGTGAGTTGTGCTCTCGAACATCATGGAGAAGCAGCAAATCTCAGCAAATCCTGCCCATCTTAGAGGAAGAAGGCACTGCCTTAGCTGTTAGCTATACCTGAGCTGGCAGGGAGTGGGTTAAAAAGGAAAAGCATATATTGGGGCTGTAGGTTGAAAGCATTTGCGGAGCACCCTCCTGCAACTATAGCAGGATCAATCCACTCATAGTGACATCCTGTATAAGAAATAAAAGTGCTGCAGAATCCGTTGTGGAAGCATTAAGTGTCATCTGTGTAGCTAAAAATTGAACGGCTTCTGTAGTATGACACGCCTTTAATGATTATGCCACACAATAGTGATGTCCTTGATGCCAGGAGGCTATTGTGCAGGATCTTTGGCCCTCTAAATATTTTGAGAGTTGAGTCCTTACAGTTTTCATTACTCTGGGAGTGGTAAACCAGCACATTTGAAGGGCCAAACAGTTCTCACAACTGCTATAATCCTTCAATGTAAAAATAAAAATTCAAGGAACAGAGAGGGAGACAATCATTGTCCCAAATGTGTTCTGCTGGAAATAAGGGCCTCTTGATTTCGATGGAACATACTTACATACGAGAGAATGTCAAGTTTTTCCACACAGACGCAACTCAATGTCCTATATGAAAGTCCCCTCGCTTATGACCCTATTGTATAGCAAGGTAAAAGGCCCTAGGCTAATTTTGTTCTACTAAAATAATTTTCTGTATTCAAAAACCTGTTTTAATTGGAAAATGAAGTGTTTAGGCTTGCAGTCAAAATAGTACAATCCTGGCAAGTTTGAACAATATATTGCTGAATTTTATGCTCCCTGTATACTTAGAATGTCAGTTTTTAGACAGCATACCTTTCTGTGACAAAAAAAGGATGCGAACCTGCCATTCCAATGATGCCATTTGTTTATGGAAACAATACTGCAGAATTTTAATCTCATGAGAATCTGATAGGAAGATGTGGCCACTTTCCCTTTCATATTAGAAAGCCGCAAACAGTTTTTCAAAACCTGACTGCCTTTTTGGACAGAAGCAGGAAAGATGTTAAAAACTTTGCCATTAATAGCTATTTAGTACAGGCACTCTAAATGAAGCATTTATTTTGCTTCACTCCAATTATGAATTTTATCAAAAAGCAGAGCAATTAAACATTGACTTCAATGTGTTTACACTGATTTAGCAGGTCTACTTCATTAAGACTAGCAACTTAACTTTGGCCATTGATTTCAGAACATCATATATGCTTCCCAATGACTGCTAGTAGCAGCGGCATAAATGAGACTCCTAAAATCATAAGCAGGTCTCCACTGGATGATATGAGAGGCCTATCTAGTTGAGAATTCACTTCCCTTGGTGGTCAATCACAGTATCCATAGAAAGCCCATATGGGAAAAGTGAATTAAATGCTGCCCCCAGCAAGTGATTTTTAGAGTATTTAGAGTAGGCTACAAGGACACATACTAAAATTCAAGGCTTGTGCTTTGATTACAGGATTACTTTCCTTGATAAAATTGAAATCAGTTACAAAAACAGAAGAGCATGAAAAGCAACAAGCTGCCAAATACAAACTGGAGAGTAGGGCTCCATCTACATTGCCATCTAATGCAATTTCAAACTGCATTAGATGACAGGGTAGTTTGGGCTTAAGACACAGCTTGCTGTCTACCTCCAGAGTAAACAAGGTTATTACTAGATAGACTTTAAATCATTGCCAAATTATTTTTTAGATTGCATACTTCCAAAATTAGCATATGCAAGTAAGGAAAGTACAACCCAGTTCACAATGTCAGTCTACCTTGCAGTGATGATTAGAACAGGTCCCTATTTAGTGCAACACATTAGGAGCAACAGTTCTGAAAAGATACCTTCTCCCCACTAAATGCAACTGCCCGCCTACCTCCTTGGTTTCAGCTGGCAGCTACCAGCGCAAAAGAGCTATTGAGGGAACCTGTTATACATTCTATATACAAAAAGTGCTAGGAAAAAAAGCATTGAAAATAATTGCAGCTTTTGTTTTCCTTTGAATGGAAGTTGCTGGTGAAAATAGGTCAGTGGAAACGCAAACTCTCCCTGTGAGTTGATGGTTAACGGTTCAGTCGGTAACCTCACTGTAATAGTACTTCTGGGCTGCATCTGTCATTTTCCAGTCAGCAGCCCGGAACTCAATGATCTCCAGCAGCAGCAACTGGGAGAGGGAGCTGAGGCCCTCCTGCAGAAGGAAGCCATCACGCAGGAGAGAAAAGAGTTCATCCATCCGCTGAGAGTTCATCTTCTCCAGCTGTTCCCCAATGCGGTGTAGTTGCAGTACCAGGCAGTCCACCTTGATAGAAAGACTTTTCTGTAAGAACTCAAGTTTTGCCAGGGGGCACCTGGTGCACAGAAACTCAACATGTTTGCATTTTAACCCTAAGACAGTGGTTCTCAACCTCTGGGTCCCCAGATGTTTTGGCCTTCAACTCCCAGAAATCCTAACAGCTGGTAAATGGCTGGGATTTCTGGGAGTTGTAGGCCAAGACACCTGGGGACCCACAGGTTGAGAACCACTGCCCTAAGAGAAAATGGAGCTGCTTCCCCTGTGAGCCCCCCCCCCCCCCCCCAAGATATCCATGAACTACTACAAATCAAAAACAGACTGATGGGAACTACATCTAGAAACTTGAACACTGACCATCTTTGTCCAAAGTAAAGTTGCCATTTGCTTTAGGATATTATACTATGAATGTATGTAATACTTTGCATACACAAAAAAGAGCTTACAATCTAAAATTCAACAAAACAGGAAAGCATGCCGTTTTTAAATTGTCTAGCTTGAATTGGAAGGTAAGCTCTAGCTTTTGAAAACAAAAGAGTTATATGCCCCAAATACATGCTTGACTCCATTTGCAATCGTACTAAGTACAGTAAGAATTGACCACAAAGAGCACCATGATGGTTTGTTCCATCAGAACCAAACAATACCTAATGCAAAGCACCATCCATTCTGCTTTTGGCAAAGCTGTCATATCCTGAGTCAGATCATTTAGTCCTACTACAGTACAGCCATCACTCGTGGATACATAAAACCGTGGATAATAGCAAACCCTATTATTTTCAATGGGGAAATGATGGAGGTAATGAGAAGAGTGCACCTTGTACAGGAAACTGAATAACTGAATCAATGGCTAAGTGAAATTACATATATCAGTTCCACAGAGATGAGGGTTGTACTGTATTGTCAACTCTGTCTGGCAGTGAAGGCTTGCTTCAGAAAGGATTCTTTCCTAGCTTTACCAGAAGACACTGTGGATTTGTACCCAGTGTCTCTTCTGGTAAAGCTAGGAAAGAATATTTGTACTGTACTAATTTAGGAGGAGTAATGGTCTGACTTGCGATAAGGCTGCTCCCTATGCCTTAAAGGGCCCTGATAGGTGCCTCCAGGTACTAACCAGATCTTTATATTGCTTAGCTTCCAAAATAAAAGGTCAGGTGTGCCCAGGGCAATATTGTGGTTACTCTGTGAAAAACATAAAGGTTACTTGAAGATGAAGAAATAATCAGCCTCTGTAAATGATCTTGATAACAGACCAAGGACAGACCATGTTTCTGGCCTACCACTCCCTTTAGCTCCAGCCAGTGTAGCCACAACTAGTAGGCGGTACCGTTCAAAACCATTTCAAGAGTCATATGTTGCCCATTTTGTAATGTAAGCCATCAGATTTCCTGACTCCACTCTTCTCACTATGCCTGAGTATAATGAGGTATAATCAATCTGGAGGATGCCAGAATAGAAAATACTAATTTGTTGCAAAGTTTTAAAAAACTCACCACTGTGAGATGACAGGTCATTCCTAAAGAATCAACACTACCTAAATGCTAGGTGGTATTAGAACCCAGAAAAAACAACTTTCACAAGTCTCTGGTATCTTTAGATCTTGCCATAATGTTCAGGATGAAATGGCAAATAATCAATTTTTTCCCTTACCAGAGTCCCCAAACTTAGTCTTTTGTTCCCAACTTCCCTACATCCTAACTATTGGCCCTACTGTGTCCCTATAGCACTCACCTCTTCCTCTTTTCGCATGCTATCAGGTTGTGCCAGCTGAAACAGGCAATCATAAACTGGATTCACCAATGCCATCATGGGCATGTTGTTGACCTGTCAGTGAAAGTGTACTTGTCAAATGATATTTATAACCCAGGTGGCATGCTTAAATACCTCCCTTCCTCACTTGGTTGGCCCTAAGAAATCCAGAAGAATAGCTGTGACAAGCGTGGAAAGAAGAACAATAAAGAGCTGTGCAGTGACTTCAATCCAAATCAATATATTGAGGCATGAGCTTTCTTTTAAAACTCAAATCAAAATACATGTGTTAAATGTGAAACAATCTTCCTCAAACTAGGTTTCATGTAGGTGTTCTGGACTACAATGTCTATCATCTCCAGATACTGGAGTGTTGCTGGGAATGAGGGATAATATAGTCCAAAACATCTGAAAAAAACAATGGCTGGAGATGCTGAATTAAGAGAGTGAAGGCGGCTCCTGCCATCTGAACTGAAATGTCTGCTGGGAAAAGTGTCTTCTTTATTAGTTCCATTCCTCAAAAAGACAGCAAGATAAACATCCATTGTTTCTCTTGCTGTCTTTTAGAGGAGTGCATTCTAAAAATTCCCAAACTTTTCAGCCTTGCCAACTTACAATCTTGTCATCTTTTGGCTTGTTATGGGACCTCAACAGAGCTTACAGTGGAAGAAACATACTTAGACCTCCATTATTAACTGATTGGTCCTTTCATCTTTGGAATATGATTGGGCAGCATAAAAACATTATATAAACGAGCCAGAATTATACCAATCCTGAATTTCTGGCCTGGAGATTCAACGGAAGAGGGACAAGCTGATCACAGCAGCTCAGCCCCATTACTTACTCTCAGATAATCAAAGATGCTACAGATGAAGGTGACGTAGCCAATCCAAGCCTGGAGAGAACGAGCTCGCAACTCATCACGGTCCTTATACTCCTGCTGAAGGCGGTTGAGGAGGCCCCGCCGAAAGACACTCTGGCCCACCTGCTTGCTTTCTGCCTGTGCACAAAGTTTACAGAGAAGCAAAACGGAGGTCGGTAAATATTTTTGTTCACAAAATCTAGGTTGTTCTTGAACAAGCAGATGCACTTTCTACCCCCTCAGCAGAGCTTAATATCCAAAATGTACAAGCAGATTCGACCAAACCAAATTGAGCTGTAGCAAAGAAACATGGCTGGAAACAGGCTGGAACCAAGGTGAACAGCATGGTTTCATCCAGAATCCTATATGAGCTCCAATGCACACATACATGTCATCTATAATTTTATTTAATTTTACGTTATTTTGCTTTGTTTGAAATAGGGAACAGGACAAATAGTTTTTACCTGCTTTCATTACTTACTTACTTATCTTTCATCAGTTACAAAGAAATACAGAATAGCCAGAAGAAACAAGGATGGTACCAGGATGTTTCATAAGGAGGCAATTATGTATCCTTCCAGATGTCATTGGATTAGAATTCCCAGCAGTACTAGCCAATAGTGAGGGATGCTAGAGAACGCATTCCCATAACATCTTGGAGGGCTACACAACACCTACTCATGTTTTAGAATATTTAGGGCCCCAATTAACATTTCAAAGCAAGTTTCAAAGGGCTCTTCCAGACAGGCCCTATATCCCAGGATCTGATCCCAGGTTTTCTGCTTTAAACCAGATTAAATGAGTCCCTGCTGCCAGATAATCTGGGATAAACAGAAAACCTGGGATAATATCCTGGGATATAGGGCCTGTCTGGAAAGGCCCTAATTCTCACAGTAGTGTAATAATGTTGAAGACATTATGGCACCATACTGAAAAGATCCAAATGACCAAAAAAAGAAAAAAAAGAAAAAAAAGAAAAGAAAAGAAACCTGCATTTAGTTTGTTTTCAAATCTCATGATTTCCACAACCATATCAAGTTTTTATAGGGCTGTTCTCAGGTTTTCATTTTGACTTTAACACAAGGGATTATTGAACCAATTAGGAAAACTATGGCCAAATACCATGCATACTGATCACATACAGAGATACATTATTAAAAATGAAACCGTGTACATATAAACATAATCTACAGAATACATAGATGTGACCGACACACACCAAAGAAGAGAGCAATTCTGAAAATGCGGGATGCTCAAACTCCTACCTGGATGATGGTGTAGCAGATACGCCCTGCTTCTTTACTGAACACACAGTCTTTGAGGGACTGGTCCACAATGACATTGGCCACCTTCTCCAAATCCACACTGTTGGGGTCTACAGAAGAAGAGGCAACATTGTCATCCTTGAGGTGAAGCAAACAGAGGTTTGTATGGTTCTGGGTGTTTAGAACTCTCCTGCCATATATAATTTCTAGATTCTTTAATTTTTGGTGTGATGGGCAAAGTTCCTCTTCCCAACTCTCTGGTCAGAAATATTGCTTTCAATTCCACCTGAAACAGGGAAGGAACCCAAAGACCTGAGATATGTGTTCGATGTTTAAGACTACACAAGAAAATCCACTGCTGAGTTATATGCAGCCTATAATTTCAGTCCAGTTTCAAACTGCATGAAGTGTCACAGCCCCTGGGAAAGGAAACCTGGACCTTTCTTTCTATGAAGTAGGTAAAGGTAAAGGTTTCCCCTTGACATTAAATCTAATTTGTGTCTGACTCTGGGGGGTGGTGCTTATCTCCATTTCTAAGCCAAAGAGCTGGCGTCCACAGACACCTCCAAGGTCATGTGGCCAGCATGACTGCATGGAGCGTCATTACCTTCCCATCGGAGTGGGAACATTTGCATGTTTTCGAACTGCCAGGTTGGCAGAAGCTGGGGTTAACAGCAGGAGCTCACCCTGCTCCTTTGATTTGAACCGCCAACCTTTTGGTCAGCAAGTTCAGCAGCTCAATTGTTTCACCTGCTGTGCTACTGAGGGCTCCCTCTATGAAGTAGTTTACAATTTCAATAATAACATTCTCAAGATACAAAAGGAAGGAAGAAAGGCAACAATGAACTAATTCCACACCAGATTTCATTTACAAAGAAACCACCACTGACATGGCATCTTTCAGTTCAGATGAACATTACAACAGCATTGTCACTGACTGCACACTGCAGTGAAAGTGAATGTCAGAGGTGGGAAGACTATGAACTTGAAAGGAGGCCTAAACTGAATGCAACATACCTCTTTACTATTTTGAAAATTGATTTTCTACTTTGCTATGGATTGGGGCTTATGGATTCTGCCTGATTCATAGAGGTGTTCAACTCCATACCTAACGTAGTCAATGGAGGTGAGGAGAAAGAATAGAGGGAGAGAAGATGAGAGGGGAAAAAAGAGAAAGAGAGGCAGAGAGAGAGATGCTGACCTTTGAGAGCTGTCTTCAGCAAGTGCTGAATCTCTGTATCAAATGAGTGTATCTTATAGTCTTCTTTGCCTGAGTCTCCCATCTCTTTCCCTCTTTCAGTGGTCAAGGAAGCAGCTGCGTTAGTAGTAACTATGGGGAAAAGAAGAGATCACACACTGTTTACTCGGGGCGGGGACAGTATTAGTCCTAGTTGGCGTAAGCACTAACAGGGCACTGCCAGACACACTGAAGCTACCAAATCACAAATAAGCCCCTCATTAACAAAATGGGAAACATCGGAACAAAAGCTCTTCTCACCCAGCATATCCTTCCTGTTCTCCAAGGATCCCAGGACCTTGACTTGTTCTGCTTACTTGAGAGGTGGAGGAGAGATTTGTTCTGATTAAAAAGCCACCCTCATCTGCCTACCTTGTTCAGTGCCAGGCCAATGGATTGTTGCAAGGCTTGCGAAAGCTGGATTGACGCAGGGCCAAATGCATTGCTCACTCATCAAAATTCCAGAGCTCTGACAGGCCCTTTCACTGACATCAGCCAAAAACTAATTGACTAAACAAAGTGTGTTTCCAGAGAAAAGTTCCAACACACTGGGATTTATCTTTTAAAAAAGTATTAAATATATTTATATGCCACTGAATTTGTGATCAGTTTCTGGTCCTCACAACCTCTGAGGATGCCTGCCATAGATGCAGGTGAAATGTCTGGAGAGCATGCTTCTGGAACATGGCCATACAGCCCGAAAAACCCACAACAACCCAGTGATTCTGGCCATGAAAGCCTTCGACAATACTATATATTTGTTTATTTAATTCATGGAAACCTTGATCTTGTAAATAGATCAACCATATTATTTTGTTACAAAGAAAAAGCCTTCTATGGAAGATATAACATTGGTCTGTGTGTTTTTCTTCTTTTTATCATTTTGGGCTACTGGTGCTGAGTCACGCTGCTGTTGATAAGTTACTCTGCTGTACATTTATCAGGAGGGTCTTTTGTTATTAAGCCCACTCGCCCAACATGGTTAAATAATGATGCAAGGAAACAATGGCTCTTAGTTTGCAAGGTCCCAGCAAGGCACTTGATGGCCTGGGTTCTTGGAATCATATGTTGAAGTTGATTTGTAGGCAGATAGCTGGATAAACAAGTCTCACCACATACAAAACCAGTCACACAAGCATTCTTGTACACAGAGAATGAAGGCTATAATATGCAGGAGAAAAACATAATGGTTTCAGAGCGAATGGCTTCTATCTGTGGCATTCAATCCCCTCACCACATAAAGAAATGGTTGAAGCAGTAGTTCTCAACCTGTGGGTCCCTAGATGTTTTGGCCTTCAACTCCCAGAAATCCTAACCGCTGGTAAAGTTGCTGGGATTTCTGGGAGTTGAAGGGCAAAACACCTGGGGACCCATAGAACCACTGAATTAAAGGATTGTCCTGGAACCCACACACATTGGATTTCCACATTAGGTTTTCCAGTTGAATAGGAGAACACTTCATTTTCATGTAGCAGTTGCTCAAAATGGAACAATTCCGAGTATCTCCATCTGAAAAAAATCTTGGCTGACAAAGACTAGAAAATATTTTCACATATGGAGTTATGATGCTGGTCAGAACAAACAATACTGTTCTGATTTGGTGCAAAGACCTTGATAAGAAGATCTTAGTGAGAAGACACTTTGGTTATGGAAACTATCTCATGTGCAGGAAACATGTACGTAGTTCTCCAGATGCTGCTGGGCTGCAGCTCCCATCAGCCCTACATAATCAATAGTGAAGGACTGTAAGAACTGTAGCACAACAATATTTGGAGACCCATGAGTTCCCTATTCCTATACTACAGATAAAGAACTATGCAGATATAAAATAGGTCTCCACCATCACTAATGGACCCACCACCAAAACCAGACCCCTGGAAGACAATCACACTTGGCCATAAGGGATCAATCATTCATGATGATTGTGGTTCTATTCACTGTTCCAGAGTGTGGCAACTTCAGTCTGATGGATTCAAAAATGGTAAAGGAGCTTCCTCCACTATCACTCTTTCCATTTCATATTACTACTGGCCAAAATCTCTGAACAGTACAACCCCAGTATCTACAGGACTGGTATCTAAAGTTTCATATATCCTCGCTAGACATTTTCTAGATATCCAGCATGATTTTCAAGGAATCAGAGTTGGAAGAGAACACAAGGGCCATACTGTCCAATCCATTCAGCCATGCAGGAAAAAAACAATCAAAGCACTCCTGACAGATGGCCATCCAGCCTTAAAAACCTCCAAGGAAGGAGCTTCCACCACAATCCAAAGCAGAGAGTTCCTCTTGAACAGCTCCTGTGGTCAGGAGGTTCTTTCTAATGTTCAGGTGGCATGTCATCTCCTGTAATTTGAACCTATTGCTCCGAGTCCTAGTCTCAAAGGAAGCAGAAAACAAGCCTGTTCCCTCTTCTTTATGACACCCTTTTCACATATTTATACACAAATACCATATCTTCTCTCAACCTTCTCTTCTGCAGGCTAAACATTCCCAGCTCTTTAAGGCGCTCCTCATAGGACATGGTCTCCAGACCTCTGATCATTTAAGTTACCCTCCTATGGACACCTTCCAGCTTGCCAAAATCCTAATGGCATTCTCTATGACAGTGGTTCTCAACCTGTGGGTCCCCAGGTGTTTTGGCTTACAACTCCCAGAAATCCCAGTCAGATTACCAGTTTCCAGCAGACCTCACAACCTTTGAGAATGTCTGTCATACTGAAAGGGAACTCCTAAAACATCTCGGTCCCACAGAGCAGATGCAATCAACCAGCCTCCTTAGGTGAAGCAATTTTTTTTTCTTCAGTGTGGCCATGCAGAGACGAAACAGCCAAAGACCAGAGTGTGCCTTCAAAGAAATGGCTTTCCGTCCTGTTACAATCTTCCTGTTATCTTTTATACAATTTTTACTGTGTCAAGGAGTAATCCCTCAACCCATCTCCATTCTCCAATCAGATTATTAAAAACATGCTTTTCTCATTATTTGGCCATTTCGACCCTTCTAACTGATAAGCGCCAGCATAGATAAACATATAATTGTTTGTATATAGATAAGGATTGAAATGTCAGGTCATCCTGTGTTTTTAGACATCTTGAACATCTTGTATAATCAAAACATATAATCTCCCCTTTGGCCTCCAATTTCCCGTACCCTTTTGCCGAGAAGGGTAAGTTAGCATTTCAGCATTTTAGCATTATTAAGCTCATTAACTCCTTCAATACGATGCAGGCAAAACGTCAGGAGATAATGTTTCTGGAACACAGCCATACAGCCCGGAAAACACACAACCCATTTTACCAGCTGTTAGGATTTCTGGGAGTTGAAGGCCAAAACACCTGGGGACCCACAGGCTGAGAACCACAGCTCTATGATATTCTTAAACCAGAGTTTCTTCGTTTCAATATGGTTTGCTATTATCCACAGCTTCACGTTCCCCCCGTGGATATAGGGTTTGTACTGTCTAAGTAGTGAGGGCTTCCAATTTTGTCCACTCTCACAACATATAAAATGCTCATCAATATCTGTGGGCCCAATCTCCTTTTTTATTTTATTTTTTCCTTTACTTTTTGTTAATTATTTAACACTATCTCATATATAATCAGAAAATATACATTCAGAAATAATGAAACATGTCTAGATCTGTATGCAGATGGCAACTTGTACAAAATAAGTATAACATACTTTACGATCTCCTTAATTCTCCTATTTTAGCAAGGGGAAGGAGCCCTCAGTGGCACAATGGGTTAAGCCCTTGTGCCAGCAGGACCGCTGACCGGAAGGTCTGTGGTTTAAATCCAGGGAGTGGGATGAGCTCCCATCTGTCAGCTCCAGCTTCTCATGCAGGGACATGAGATAAGTCTCCCACAGGATGGTAAAACATCCAGGCATCCCCTGGGCAATGTCCTTGAAGATGGCCAATTCTCTTACACCAGAAACTACTTACAGTTTCTCAAGAAAAAGGTAAGGGAAAAGTCAAGATATAACCTGTGTACAAGTTACCTTGCATATTCCCTGTACTGAACTGGGGACACACATACATATGATACTCAGCTATGTGTATGCTCACCATATTTATTGGAGCTAGGCTCCCACCTCACCTTTCCTCCAAGGAGGACAAGGGAAAGCACACCATCTCCAAAACAGCAGCCCTGAGGAGTAAGTTAGGCTAGGGAAGCAGAGAAAAGGAGTGGCTTTTAAGGTCTGCCAGAGGATAACATGGCTCAGTGGTGTCTGGGAAATAAGTTTTCCAATTCCCAGTCCAACACTCGCCCACGAATCACAGCTGCCTAGGGAGGGAACCAGAAGGGCTGGGAGTATTTCTGACGCCGGAAACTGGTTGTCTGCCTGCACTGACACGTTGGCAGAACTCAGTATTTTAGGCAAAACAAGACGGCAAGAATATGCTGAGGCATCTCTGAAGGAAGACATTGTTTGGCTAAGCTCAGACTTATGGGGATGCATCTACGCTGCAGAATTAATGCAGTTGAAGGCACTTCAACTGCCATGGTTCAATGCTATGGAATTGTGGGAGTTGCAGTTTAGTGTGGCAATAGTGCAAAGATCTTATAAAGCTCTAAAACTCCCAGAATCCCATAGCATAGAGCCATGGCAATTGAAGGAGGGTCCAAGTACATTCATTGTGCAATGTTGGAAAGTTCATGCTACAATTTAGTTGGCCTCAAAAGTGCTACAAGATGTTGCGAATTGACATTCCAGATTCAAATGCCTGTGCCTTTGAGTACATCTACACCAGGCGTGGGCAAACTTGGGCTCTATGGGTGTTTTGGACTCCAACTCCCATCATTCCTGACAGCCTCAGGCTTAAGCGGCTTAGGGGGAAAAGGAAGGGGCCTGAGGCTGTCAGGAATGATGGGAGTTGGAGTCCAAAACATCAGGAGGGCCCAAGTTTGCCCATGCCTGTTCTACACTGTAGAATTAACACAGTCTGACACCACTTTAACTGCCATGGCTTAATGATATGGAATCCCGGAAATTATAGTTTGGGGAGGCTCAAGACGTCATATAATTGCACTTCCCAGGATTCCATAGTACTGGCCCGTGCTAAGTCAAAGTGGGTACCAAACTGGGCTAACTCTGCCGTGTAGACGTGCCCTTGGGATGGAAATACATGGAAGCAGAGCCAAGGGAGCAAGGCAGCGCCCCAAGGCAGGCCACCCGCCCACCTACCCACTCACCTACCTGCGTGGGGCTGGTGGGGCCCGGCATCTTCCAGCAGCCCGGCGCCTAGTTCTGCTTGTTCTCCGGGGGAGGCCTCTGGAGGAAGAGGAGGAGGAAGCCCACGGCCGAGCAGAGCAGCAGGAGGAGCAGGAAGGGCAGCAGCTCCAGCATGGAGTGCAAGTGCAGGAGGGGCATCCTCCTCCTCCTCCTCCTCCTCGGCTCCTGCTCTCGCCCAGGACCGGCCAGGCACCGCGGGGCTCCTTCCTCTTTGGTCATTTCCTCGCAAGGCTGGGCCAAGGCCGTGGCGGGTGGGGAGAAGTGTGGAGCGCCACAGCGCCACCTGCTGGGAAGTTGAGACTCTCCTCTGGCTCAGAAAAAGAGGGAAGGGGGAAATAGAGGGCGCCCCCTTCCCCAAATTGCTACCAGTGGTTCTCAACCTGTAGGTCCCCAGATGTTTTGGCCTTCAACTCCCAGAAATCCTAACAGCTGGTAAACTGGCTGGGATTTCTGGGAGTTGTAGGCCAAAACACCTGGGGACCCACAGGTTTGGAACCACTGCATTATGTGGAGCTTCTTTGGGGGGGGGGGGGGGCTCACTATCCAATAAAGGCAGTGGTTCCCAACCCTTTTTTTTTTTTACCAGAAACCACTTGATCAGGGACCACTTTGACCAGGGACCACTATCCAACATTAGTACCAAAAAGGTTACAAATCAGTTTTTGGTCAACTTTAGATTTGGTTTGGTTATTTGGGGTGCTGATTCAGAAAATTGCATTGGGTAGACCACATCAGCTCTAGTTTCTGATACAGAACATATGCTATCAAGTAGTCGCCATCTGCTCACCCACGGAAAACCATTTTTAATAATCCAGAGCTGATGTGGTCTAACCAATTCAGTTTTCCGAATCAGCACCCCAAAGAAGCTTAAAAATGAAGACGCTGAAACGTCCCTGCTTCCAGGGGTCACATAGAATGGCTCCGCTCAGGGGGAGGGAGGAGGAGGAGAAGAAAAAGCAGCAGTCCTGAGGCCGGTTGTCACACCTTTTGTGGGTAGTCTGCCTCTCCCCTCCCGACATCCCCATTGTCTCAACACAATAGGGTTTCGCGAGACCAGTCGCTCTCATTGCAACGGTGTATTTATGAGGAAGGAGCTGGCCAGACCACCTCTGTGTACACCTTGACTTGAAGGCACACAAGAGCCACTATGTAACACAACATAATCTATGTATGTGAGCCAGTTTCACTACATCTGCTGCCTTCTACACCATGCAGTTCACTCGATATACAGAAGCCAAGCCATCTGCTCTAGTATCTGAATTGCTTCCACCATCAGAAAACCAGCCCCGTCTCCATGCAAGGGAGAAGGCCAGCTCAGGGACATAAGCTACGCATGAGAAGGAAACTGGAATGGCTGCCGTGGCTACTCCCTCCTATTAAACTAGACTCTGTTGCATGAAGTAGCTGCCTTATTCTGCCTTAAGACAAGCCTGCCTCTTCTGCAGGTGGACAAATCGATGTGGTGAGCAATTGTCAAACCAAACCAGAGTTGCCAGTTGTAGGGAATGTAGGAGTTGTAGTCAACAAAAATAGAAGATCATAATGTGAAATTGCACCAGGAAGAAGCAGGGCAACACAGACCCAGCCAAAAGCAATCGGGGAGGCCCATTATAATCTGAAACACCCTCCAACCCCACAGTCAACACAAAATCATTCATCGCAGCCAACTTATTTCTTGCTCTATTTGCAGTTTTAAGAAACAGATGGTTAAGAAAACATTTCCTTAAGGAGAGTACTATTTTACTGTGCCTGGCTCTGAGGTTCATAAATACAAACTTGTCTATGGGTCAGAAAAATAAATGAGCAGAGAAATGTAACTGAGACTGGTTTGCTCAATAGTACACAGGCCGTAAATATTTTAATCTACCTTGCCTTCCTTTGTCCAGTCTCTCATTACCGTCTGAATTTAAACAAATAACTTTAAACTACATTGCAACCTGAGAGAAGTAAGTCATTTGTAAGGATCTTAGCCTGCTATAAGAGAAACATAAATACTAACTTTCACCTGCTGCCTCTCTGTTCCCGGACTTTTGTTGCCACCATGTCTTCTAGGACCTTGCTCAAACAAGGAAGAATGGAGACTTGTTAATCATTACCTATGATGGGAGGATCCAAAGGTGATTTAATAATGCTTTCTTTAAGGACACATAGACACAGCTGTGCTCAGAAAAATCTGTTACACTTGTTATGCCACTGATTCGTCTTCTACTAGCCCCTTCTACAGCTAAAATAACTTTGCTGGACAACAGACTAGTGATACAATTTATTTCCTGCCTCTGCCACTATAGAATAGGCCCTAAAATAGGCTCTAAGTGGTGCAGTTAGATTCATGCATACATTGCCTTGAGCAATGATAACAATGCTTAATGCTGCTAATGACTTTATGTTTCACATTTAATATTTCTTGTGGTTTAAAAACCTATCCTCATAGTAACCTTTAACTGTGTTATCATAATTATAACAGTGCTATAAAACTACAGATCAACAAACCATGAGGATCCTAATATGAGGGTTTATGGGATCTTGTTGATTTTTTGATGAACATTACAAAGTTAAAACATGCATGAAGAATAGTGTTAATGCTAAAGTGATAGATTGGTTTCACTGTTTTTATTACACGAACCCATTTAATTGCTTACAATAGCAGACAGCGTGAAAAATTAATTGAATTGTGATGGATATAATCCTGAAGAAGAATAGCTGTATTTGAATATACGCACATATCTCGTATATCATACCAACTTGACTGCTAAATATTTTCAGAATTTGGCATGTTCTACAAATACAAGCTGATTAGGTGCCAAAAGGAGGAAAGAAATATTCCACTGGCTACATAGTTGATATGGTTGTAATATGTCCTGCTGTTAGATGGAAATCAATTTGTTAGCAATAAGAAGTTATAGATCAGGCATGGGCAGACTTAGGCCCTCCAGGTGTTTTGGGCTTCAATTCCCACAATTCCTAACAGTCTACCGGCTATTAGGAATTGAGGGAGTTGAAGTCCAAAACACCTGGAGGGTCTAAGTTTGCCCATGCCTGTTATAAATGGACACGGAACATTATCAAGGCCAGGAATGCTGTGTCACCGCAAACACAAAATAGAGTGCACTTCATTAGACTTACGATTTTGACATTACATGTTGAACACAGATTTCAGCAAGAGCATAACTTCATGACTATACAGTAGCACTGCATACAGCTTGCACGTACAAGGAGCGTACAGCAATGTGATACCTGAGATTGCAGTTTGATGAGCTACTGGCATTCTCTGCTTGAGACAGAATTAGTCCATTCCCAGATCTACAGCAGTAGAACTCTCTAGCAAAGAATTCGGAGTACCTTATTAAACTACATATCCCTGGACTTCATAGCATGGGGTCATAGCAGTTAAAGTGGCACCTAACTGTGGCAATCATTTAATGTAGGTCAACCCAAGGACCCAGAAAGAAGTAGTTGAGGATAGTCTGTAACCACCAACAGCCAAAACAGCCAACAATGGGCTAGATGTGCAACATGTTACAGCAAGTCATAACAGGCTCAGGTATGTGTGTGTGTTAAAAAAAACTTATGCTTTTAATTATTATGTGCAGCTGCTAATGTAGGTCAACTAGTAAGTTTGGACTACAACCGGTGGGGTATAACTGTATGGTTTTTAGAATACAGTTCAGCTTTTGCTCTGAGGAGGCTTTACTCAGGCATTTTGCTCAACCATTTCTACTGCTCTCACATTTGGATGAAGAAGCCTTATTCTTACATAGTCTTACAACGACTATGTAAGTTTGTTGCACTGTTTGTAACATCGCAAGTTTATGTTTTAACTCTGCTGATAAGAGTAGAGTTTTTCTGTACTTTTTCCTCTTACCTGGGTGCAATGTTATTGTGGCTTCGGCATTGGACTTGACTGAGATACGCTTAGCGCAACACAACACTCTGAATCAATGTAAGACAGCTACGTAAATTCAAAATGGACTAAATATGTAGTTCAAACAAACTATGTTCGCTTACCTTTGTGAAGCAGTAAAACTTTACTCCACTGCCTCCTTAAATTAAGGGGCAGTTGCTTTGCTTTCTTCAGGCATTCCCTGCCAATGGGAGGAGGCCTCTCTGTGCATCAAGCCACATCCAAGCGAGGCATGTCACTTATCTCCAAGAGGCGGTCTGCAGCTCTCCAAATAGCTCCCAGCTTATTTTATCAACACCCATCCCATGAGCAAACAGTATTAAAACAATAACAGCACTATCTTTCTAGATAACACTTTGGTTTGTGTTTGAAAGGATGGGGGGAAATCGCTGTTCTGCTGCCTGCCCTGGATGCATCAATTAGGTCAACCATCTGTTGTTTTAATAGTTCTTTCGTGCCTCCTGGACTAACCCAGCTTAACACCAATCTAATTAAGATGCCACTGTTTGCAGACAAAGTGAACATAGCAGTGTTCCTCCCTTGCGTGGAGCAACAGCACCGCCTTGCGAACTGCACTGTGAACTGAGGCACACATTAGAGTAAAATGTGCCCATGTGACTTGGGGACCGCAACCTTTGCTGCCCCAATAGATTCCAACTAATTAGCTGGTGTGGTTTTTTTTCCACTCCACAATAGACCTGCTAGTTTTTAAGACATTTCTTGCCTCTGTGCTTTTAACAGAAGCTGCATGTGCAGATCACATTATTTTCTATGCTATGCAAAGTTAAAGAACAGATAAGAAGTGGCGTGCCTATTTTCTGGACAACTGGAAAACCTACCTTAAATGTCAGTTAACAAAGGAACATTTACACAAGACATCTCACACTTTGTAAAAGAACTCAAATACAGTAGAGTCTCACTTATCCAACTCCAAATTGAGAAACAAGTCGTACAGGAATACCTGGCCGCTCTAAACGAGTTCAAGTCCCCAGGGCCAGAACAACTACACCCAAGAGTATTGAAGGAACTAGTGGAAGTCATTTCGGAACCATTGGCAACCATCTTTGAGAGTTCTTGGAGAACAGGAGAAGTTCCAGCAGATTGGAGGAGGGCCAATGTGGTCCCAATCTTCAAGAAGGGAAAAAAGGATGACCCAAACAACTACCGTCCGGTCAGCCTCACGTCGATACCAGGCAAGATTCTGGAAAAGATTGTTAAGGAAGTGGTCTGCAAACACTTAGAAACAAATGCGGTCATTGCTAATAGTCAACATGGATTTATCAAAAACAAGTCATGCCAGACTAATCTGATCTCTTTTTTCGATAGAGTTACAAGCTGGGTAGATGCAGAGAATGTCGTGGATGTAGCGTACCTGGATTTCAGTAAGGCCTTCGACAAGGTCCCCCATGACCTTCTGGCAAACAAATTAGTCCAATGTGGGCTAGGCAAAACTACGGTGAGGTGGATCTGTAATTGGTTAAATGGACGAACCCAGAGGGTGCTCACTAATGCTTCCTCTTCATCCTGGAAAGAAGTGACGAGCGGAGTGCCGCAGGGTTCCATCCTGGGCCCGGTCCTGTTCAACATCTTTATTAATGACTTAGATGAAGGGTTAGAAGGCAGGATCATCAAGTTTGCAGACGACACCAAATTGGGAGGGATAGCCAATACTACAGAGGACAGGAGCAGGATTCAAAACTATCTTGACAGATTAGAGAGATGGGCCAAAACTAACAAAATGAAGTTCAACAGTGACAAATGCAAGATACTCCACTTTGGCAGGAAAAAAACGAAATGCAAAGATACAGAATGGACAATGCCTGGCTCAAGAGCAGTACATGTGAAAAAGATCTTGGAGTCCTCATGGACAAGTTAACATGAGCCAACAATGTGATGTGGCGGCAAAAAAAGCCAATGGGATTTTGGCCTGCATCAATAGGAGCATAGTGTCTAGATCTAGGGAAGTAATGCTACCCTTCTATTCTGCTTTGGTTAGACCACACCTGGAATATTGTGTCCAATTCTGGGCACCACAATTCAAGAGAGATATTGACAAGCTGGAATGTGTCCAGAGGAGAGCGACTAAAATGATAAAAGGTCTGGAGAACAAGCCTTATGAGGAGCGGCTTAAGGAGCTGGGCATGTTTAGCCTGAAGAGAAGGCTGAGAGAAGATATAATAGCCATGTATAAATATGTGAGGAAGCCACAGGGAGGAGGGAGCAAGTTTGTTTTCTGCTTCCCTGGAGACTAGGACGCGGAACAATGGCTTCAAACTACAAGAGAGGAGATTCCATCTGAACATGAGGAAGAACTTCCTAACTATGAGAGCCGTTCAGCAGTGGAACTCTCTGCCCCGGAGTGTGGTGGAGGCTCCTTCTTTGGAAGCTTTTAAACAGAGGCTGGATGGCCATCTGTCAGGGGTGATTTGAATGCAATATTCCTGCTTCTTAGCAGGGGGTTGGACTGGATGGCCCATGAGGTCTCTTCCAACTCTTTGATTCTATGATTCTATGATCTCACCTTCGCTCATCATGTTTTGTATTATCCAACGCAGATCCACAGCTGTTTCAATACATTGTGATGTTTTGCTGCTAAATTCATAAATACAGTAATTGCTGCATAATATTACTGTGTATTGAACCGCTTTTTCTGTCGATTTGTTGTAAAACATGATGTTTTGGTGCTTAATTTGTAAAATCATAACATAATTTGACATTTAATAGACTTTTTCTTAATCCCTCCTTATTATCCAATGTTTTCACTTATCTGATGTTCTGCTATCCCATTTATGTTGGATAAGCAAGACTCTACTGTACAAACAACACATTGATAGAGTAGATTAGAAGACGTTGTTGTGTGTCCTCAAATAGCTTTTGACTATAGTGATTCTCTGCAGCGGTTCTCACCCTGTGGGTCCCCAGATGTTTGGGCCTTCAACTCCCAGAAACCCTAACAGCTGGTAAACTGGCTGGGATTTCTGGGAGTTGTAGGCCAAAACACCTGGGGACCCACAGGTTGAGAACTACTGGTCTAAGGTGACCCTATTGCAGGATTTCCAGGTAAGATTTGTTCAGAAGACAGTTGCCATTGCTTTTTGCTGAGGCTGTGAAAATGTAACTTGCCCAAAGCCACCCAGTGGGTTTAATGGATAAGTGAGGATGCAAACCTTGGCTTCGAGAGTCATACTTCAATGCTCAACCCATTAAAACACTAATTACGTTATATAAATTGGCTTAAGACTTAAGACTCGAGACTCAGTCTTTTCTAGGCTCACGCAAGGCCAGATTAAGATGGCTGAACAGTCCACAAAATAGGACCCACAATAGTATTATAATGTATGTGAACTCTTCTAATCATTAACGAATCTTCCTTTGTAAATATAGTGTTTAACGTTGCAGTTTTGATGAGATAAACAAACTGATGTCATGTATTTTTACTAACACGGATAACTCACAAAATTGGCAACAGAAAGTGGGAGCTACAGGAAACAACTGGGGAAGGAAGAGGAAGCAAGCGAATACCTTTATTTCTCCACCTGGTTCCTAAGCCTTTGAAGGACCTAGAGCAGTAGTTCCCAACCTTTTTTGACCAAGGACAACTTTGATCAAAAATCACTTGACCAGGGACCACTCCAACATTAGTACCAAGAGGGTTATGAATCAGTTTTGAGTCAACTTTAGATCAATTTGATTATTTGGTGTGCTGATTCAGAAAGTTGCATTGGATAGACCACATCAGCTCTAGTTTCTGATACAGAACATATGCCATCCAGTAGTTGCCATCTGCTCACCCACATAAAATCATATTTAATAATATAGAGCTGGTGTGGTAGTAGGAATCTTCTGTGGGTAGTCAGCCTTTCCCTCTCCCGACATCCCTGTTGTCTCGGCACTATAAGAGGGTTTTGTGAGATCAATCGCTCTCGTTGCTGTGTGGCTTTGAGGCAACAATGTAGTAATGGTGAGGCTGCGGACCATATGTTTGTTCTTGTGGACCACTGGTGGTCTATGGACCACAGGTTGGGAACCACTGTCCTAGAGCAAATGAATCAGTGGAACCACTGGTAATCCGATCCTTGCAATCCTTGTATTTTCAACGTGCTTTGCAATGTTCAGGGCAAAAGTGGATTGGCTTGCAAAATAAAGAATGTATATTCATGAGACAGATTCACATTAAATACATTTATTTATTTATTTATTTTTCTAGCAGAAACATGTGTTTCATACAGGCTGGTCCAAATCCTTATAGGTCCTGCCCTTGAAAAATAACTCTTCATATGAAAAATGGAAAAACCATAATGGATTAGACTCTAATAAAACAATGAGAGTCAAAAAATAAAAGTCACCAGAGTCATTAACCCTGAACTGTTTCTCTCTTGTGTTTCTTCCCTACACATCAAGGGTTCCCAACAAGTACTGTGATAGATATGGTCCTATAAGATACTTTCTCTGCAAGAAATCAAAAGGTGACACTGGATATATTAGGCATAAAGTGCTGCTGAATAATCTGTATCTGGATATGTGATTAATATAAGGCACAAGATTATTTTGAATAATGACAAGGCGTAGGCAATGGAGGGAGGGGAAAAGGCTGAGGGCTTTATCATGAGGCTACTAAATTGCAATTGCAGCGAGCATCTGTAGCTAGTTCTTATGATATGAAAGTGTGCCTCTCCCATTGTTATTTTGCATTTAAATCATTGATGGAGTGCATTTTTTTAATTGATGAGAACAACTCATTGATAGTTTTCTGTTTTGCAGCTTGAGAGGGCTTGATTCGCTCCCTATACTCTTCCTAAGCAGACTGAGGTTGGTGAGCCCCAGGGAAGGAAGAGAGAGGCTGAGTAAAGTTAGCTCTGATTTCTCTCCTTCCCTATCCCAGGAAATATCCCTCCATTTAATCTTACACCCCTTTCCCTTTGGGTTAGTCGCCACTCTCCTCCCCTGCAGAACTGTAACAGGACTGTAACTATACTCTCAAACAGAGTAAGAAGTATTTAAATAAAGAGAGAAAAAGAAAGGAATCCACACCCGTTCCTATCATAAAACATTTTTTTCAGGGCCATTCTGCAAAGCCTGTGGAAAGGGAGAGCAAGGGGTAATGTTAAAAGGTAAGTCAGGAAAGGAGAAGACCAGGAGATGAGAAACAAAAGGCAGGGGCATAATAGCACAATCATCGGTGATGATTTTTGAGCTGTTGTGTTGTCCCTGTTTGCTTCCACAACATGATTGTTGAGAGACATAAGGCTGGTGTGGTGAAGTCCTGAAAGAGGACAACCGCTTCTAATTTCAATAGCAAACCAAGCTTCAAAAGCACAGCCATATCTAATTTATTACAACATAGCCTTTCTATATGTAAACAAAAACCCTGTATGCCCAAATTACTCCTCTGTGCCATTCCAAAAGTACAATAGGAATTGACCAGCATGTTTCCGGGCTAATTCTACAGTCAGCCCCCACATTTGCGTCTTTGACTTTTGCAGCTTTGATTATTAATGGATTTAATTAATATAGTTCATTTCTAGATCCTGCAGCAGAATTCTATGGTCAACTTCTGGCAGATGTTGACCAAAATTTCAATGAACTATAGATTCATAGAGAAGTATTATCTCAGGGTTTTTAAAAGTGTTTGTTATTTGTGATTTTCCACTTTCATGAGGGTCCTGTGCCCCTAGCCCCAGCAAATGTGGGTGGCTGACTGTACTTGCACGCTGCTTTATACATAAGAACAGCAGGCAAATGTACCAGATTAGTTCTCTGTCTCCACAATATTTGCTCCAAATAAAGTATCTGTTTTACCTGCATTGGGATGAAATTTATTCCAGGGGTTGTAAATATATAGTAATCAATATACAAATATTGATTAAAGAGACTCAAAGTTAGAAAATTACAGTTCGTGTATTTTAACATTGATAGGCCTTTTTTGCATTATTGAACAAAACCAGAAGAACCAACATGTTCCAAAGGCCACTATCTCAAGATAGATTCATCAATTGTGCATTAAGATAGCAGTGCAGTGTTGTAAAAATGAAAAACAGCTTGTTTCTGGGTCTGCTGCATAACTACAATGTTAGCTTCTGCCATTTCACAGGCAGTAACAGTACAGAGGCATGAGTGTGTCTAGGTGTGCAAGTAAAATACAAACAGTAATGCGACTGTTGGCACAGAAGACAAATAGGCAGTGGATGTAGTGCCACTCCCACTAGTCATAGCTGGATACATCTGAAAGAAAGCTTTGTAGGCTTTCCTTTCTTTAGTAGCATGCTATTTAGTCTATTTGTTTTTGTTTTACACAGTGGGCTCCACCACTGGAAAAACACTAGGGTGTCACAATGCCTTTTAAGACCATGGGCCTTAAACAGGGGTCAAAATCTGACACAGTCCAGTTTGAGGCACTACGCTTTCATTCCCTGAACTGAATGCACCATACTATTAAGATGACACTTCCAGCAAAGAAATGTGCACTCCTGGCTTATTGTCAGTCTTGGAGAAGCTTGGTCAGCAAATTTTGGAGGCGCAGTGTCTTTAGGGTGGGGGGAAAGTTAGAATAGTTCCAGTAAAGGGACTGGGGAAAAGAGACCAACAGCGCAAGAACTTTCCCCATCATTTGAGCAAACTTTATAGCATTAGAGGTTGCTCACTTTGATATTGGTACAACTCCTCCAGGAATCCAGGCTTGTTCCACAGGAGAAAGAAGAGGAAGTGCACAGGGCAGAAGTTGTTGGCAGAAAGGACAGGCCCACAATGTCGCAAGCTCCTTCTGTATGCGCCAAATGGATAAGAAATATGCATTTGGGGCTTTGACAAAAAAGACAAAAGCAGCTCTGCAACCCTTTCTGCACTCCCTCCGCATACAATGGCAAGGCTGATAGAACATTTCAGCAAGAAGTATTGCAGGCCAAGACTCTTGTGGGCATCAGCCTTTCGGCATCTTTAAGGCACCTGAATCCTTCAGGGTGCTAAGGAGGCTGCAAAAGAACTCATACCAGAAAAAGGTGAAGCCTGTTGAAAAAGCAGCTTTCAGCAAGCTTGGGGAAAGGCCCTTGAAGAATCCCCGGGGGCCTTCATCCCGTGCAATCTGTTGGGCGCAGTCCAACAAACCCGCATAAGTCCGCACCTGGAGAAACAGAGAGGCACCTGAGTCACAGCACCAGGAAGGCTTCATTTATGAAAGAGGTACAAACACTTTGAACCAGCAAGTATGGCTCAGCATACAACAGGTGTAATTTGTTGAGGTGGAAGGAAGCATCATAATATTCTGCCAGAAGTTGGAAATTTTGCTTTTTTTTAGAGTACAGCACCTGGGACAGCTCTCCACAATTTGAACCGAAAGTAGCTATTTATAAAGGTAAAGGTTTCCCAATGACATTAAGTCTAGTCTTGTCTGACTCGGGGGGGGGGGGGGGTGCTAATTTCCATTTCTAAGCTGAGGAGCCAGCACTGTCCACAGACACCTTCAAGGTCATGTAACCGGCATGGCTGCATGGAGCACCATTTCCTTTCTACTGGAGCAGTTCCTATTGATCTACTCACATTTGCATGTTTTCGAACCGCTAGGTTGGCAGAAACTGGGGCTAACAACAGGAGCTCACCCTGCCCCCCAGATTTGAACTGCTGACCTATTGACCAGCAAGTTAAGCACCTCAATGGTTTAACCCACTGTGCCACTGGGGGCTCCGTAGCTACTTATACCGAATCAACACAGGTAAGAATGGGAGGAAACATCTATATAGGCAAAAGGAAAGTTGATACAGTATGTCCTTCCTCCAGATCTGTGGGCACCTGATCTGTGCTTTCAACCAACTGTGGACCATCATGGCTCATATAATGAAATGGTGGTGATTTAAACACAGACATTCTAAAGTGTGTGTGTTCACATTGATATCATTTAATAAAATGGACTGTGATCATTTACATTTTTTTATCTGTGCAGAAACCTGAACTGAATCTCCACAGTTATGGATGTCCCACTGTACTATGCTGCACTTATATTCCAGGATAGCTGACTTATTATAAGTCATTCATGTATAGCTATATTATTTGAGCTATTTTGTCCCTCTCTGGTTTAGATAATGGATGGTTCGTATCTAATTTAGATGATATGCTGTCTATTTTAGGCACACAGAAAAATAAGGTAGACAAAAAGCACAGTTCCTCAGGTCTGGGATTCCTCTCACCTGCCCAAAAGATGCACGGGCTTGTTCAAAGCCGCCCACCTGCAGCCGTTTCTTGAACAGGTCAAAAGGATAAGTGAGGGTTTTGCTGAGGACGCCAGCACAGCTTCCACACACAAAGTTTTTAATATTTCCTGAAAAGCACAGAAGTGAGAGGATGAGAAGAACACGCATGGGAGCTACTTTATAAAGGAAGTATGCCATAATTAAGAAAACCTGGTACAAGGCTTGGAAAGACAACAACAAAATATTAGGCAGTGCAGGAAACTAATAAACTTTGGAAGAACAATCACTCTTTCAATGGAATTGACTAGTATGTCTCTTCAAGTCACCTGTAGACTTATGGCAACCCCATGAATCCCACAAGGTTGTTTTAGGCAATTATATAAATAAATAAATAAAAATCAGAAGTTTTCTTAGGCAAGGAAGATCCTGAAGTAGAGCCTAGAGCGCCTGGTATTTGCCGTTGATCTTCCATCCAAGTGTTAATCAGGACTGAGCTTGTTTAGCTTCCAAGATATGTTGGGATCTGGTGCCTTTAGGGTTTTTAGTTCATGACATTACTATTAGCTGTCTACAGAACACTTTTATTGTGCAGGGATTTGCAACATGAACAGAGTGTTTGTAGCAACTTTCTAAGTGGATCTACACACTAGTCAGAAATAGGGGTTTTCCTAGAGTAACAAAATCATTACCAAACACTGAATTATTCTAGCCACAGACATTCATATACACACGTGCATGCATACACACATTCACACACACCAGAAACGACTAACCTTTTTTCATTTCTTCACTTGGGACAATCCAGTTATACAGATTCTTCAAAAGACCATAAAAAGAAAACTGGAAGCCAGCATAGGGGACAACAGCAATGACGGTAGGAGTGAGCCCCCTATAAAATGTCCGCAGCCCTTCTCTTTGATACATGCTTACCACAGCATGGCGGAGATTCCTGTAAATCTAAAAGAAAACCTTGAACGGTGAATATGTTTTCTTGTGTGACCAGTCTATATTGGCTCACAATGCAAATATGGCTATCTATGCAATTAACAAAGAAATCACATTTCAGCAATGCTCACAAAAATCTCTATAGTTTAAGGACTGTAGCTCTCTCATGCACCTTATATGGCAGTTTTGTACTGGTGACATTATTTCTAGTCAGCTTAGCTAATCCTGTCTCTTTGGACAATGCCTGGACAATAAATATCCTTAAATTGTGCAAGCACATTTCTGGGCTATTGAATACATTTCTACAAAAACTGATTTACATAAATAATACTAATACTAATAATAGTAATAATAATACCATAAAATAATAATCTATATAAATAAAAATGTAGTGTTTGTTTGTGGGATTAACATAACTCAAAAACCACTGGACGTATTGCCGCCAAATTTGGCCACAAGACACCTACCAACCCAAGGAGTGACCATCACTCAAAAATATTGATTTTGTCATTTTGGAGTTGTAGTTTTTGGGATTTATAGTTAACCTAAAATCAAAGAGCATTCTCAACTCCATCAATGATGGAATTGAATCAAATGTGGCACACAGGACTCCCATGACCAACAGAAAACACTAGAAGGGTTCGGTAGGCATTGACCTTTAATTTAGGAGTTGAGGTTCACCTACATCCAGAGAGCACAGTGGACTCAAACAATGATAGATCTGCACCAAACTTGGCATGAATATTCCATATGCCCAGATATGAACACAGATGGAGTTTGAGGGAAATAGACATTGACATTTGGTAGTTGTAGTTGCTGGGATTTATAGTTCACTTACAATTAAAGAGCATTCTGAACCACACCAATGACAGAATTGAGGCAAACTTCCCACACACAACCCCCATGACCAACAGAAAACACTTAAGGTCATCCAGTCCAACTCCCTTCATCAGGACAAGAAAACGTAATCAAAACCCTCCTGACAAAGGGCCATCCAGCTGTAGGTATAGATAGATATATATGATTCACACACACAGATATAGTATCATAGATTTAAAAGGGACCCCTAAAGAAGGACAATTATACGTTGCATGTTCCAGAGTAGGCAAACCAGACAAAGAAGCAGCAAGAAATACTGTTTACCCACAAGTATAAAGAAGTTACATATATTAGAAACCAACACTTTCTCATTACTTAATTTTCCAGATCACCAGACTGGGCCACAGCAACGCGTGGCAGGGGACGGCTAGTAATACCATAAAATGCAATCAGCCTGAAGTCTATAAATATCTGGGCATACTACGGTTGGACAATATCAAGAGTGAGCATGTGAAAAATGTGGTCAGCAAAGAATATATCCAAAGAGTCAGAAAGGTTTTGAAGAGCAAATTAAATGGCGGAAATACGATCAAGGCTATCAGCACCTGGGCCATCCCCGTCATTAGATACACTTCTGGAATTGTGAACTGGACACAAGCAGAGCTAGATGATCTGCACAGAAGAACAAGAAAACTAATGGCGACCCACTACTCATTACACCCGTGTAGTGATGTCGACAGACTTTACCTGCCCAGAAAATCAGGAGGCAGGGGGCTTCTGCAAGTGAAACGAACGGTAGAAGAAGAGAAACATGCACTGGCAGATTATGTGAAAGGCAGTCAAGAACCAACATTGAGGAAAGTCAATAGTAGTAAACTGCTTGAAGTGCAAAAGACAAAGAGGGAATACCGTAAAGACACAATCCAGAGCAGAAGAGAAAAATGGCAAAAGAAGGCTCTCCATGGATAATTCCTGGCAAAAATTGAGAGCCAAATTGACAAAGAAAAAACATGGCCATGGCTCACAAATGGGACTTAGAAAAAGGAGAAGGAGGGCCTGATTCTGGCAGCCCAAGAACAAGCCATTAGTACCATTGCCATCAAAGCCAGAATTGAAAAGTCGACAACAGATCCCAAATGTAGACTCTGCAAGGAAACAGATGAAACAATAGATACATCCTCAGCTGATGCAAGAAGATCACACAGACGGATTACAAGCAGAGGCATAACACTGTTGCTCAGATGATCCATTGGAACCTATGCCACAAATGCCATCTGCTTGCGACAAAGAACTGGTGGGATCACAAGCCGGAAAAAGTTACAGAAAATGAACACGTCAAAATCCTCTGGGACTTCTGGATTCAGACAGACAGAGTTTTGGAGCACAATACTCCTGACCTCACGATTGTGATAAAAAACAAAGTATGGATTGTCAATGTTGCAATCCCAGGTGACAGCAGGATTGAAGAGAAACAACTGGAAAAGATGACACGATGAGAGGATTTAAAGATCGAATTGCAAAGACTCTGGCACAAACCAGTCAAGGTGGTGATCGGCGCACTGGGTGCAGTGCCTAAAGACCTTGGCCTGCACTTAAACACAATCAACGTTGACAAGATTACCATCTGCCAGCTGCAAAAGGTCACCTTACTGGGATCTGCACGCATTATTCGCTGATACATCACAGAGTCCTAGATACTTGGGAAGTATCCAACGTGTGATCCAATACAACAGCCAGCAGAGTGTCTGCTGTGGACTCATCTTGTGATGTTTCAAATAATAATAATAATAATATATTTTTACCCCGCCATCATCTCCCTGAAGGGACTTGGGGTGGCTAACAAAGCACTCAAAGTGCCACAGATAAAACAGAATTACATATCATCAATACAATACACAATTTGACTGAATACAAACAATGGACAACGTCAATCGATAAAATTAAAAGTTTTAAAAATTGTAAAACACAGTCACATACAACTTTCTGAATAGGGAATCTTCACTTTCTTTGGATACAAGGGAGGAGATCTGAGCACAGAAAGTATGCTTGTATGAGGTAGGGACACAGATTAATTGTACATGCGGAGCCTCAGCTATTTAGAAATCCAAAAAACTCCAGAACCTAACACTTTTTTGCCATCAGCCATCTGATTCTGCTGTGGCACTCCTGATTGTTTGTTTCTCAGATCCTCAGTCTCTGTGAGATGAAGCAGAGATGTTACTACCACCTCAGAGGCAAAAGTGGGTGGCTGAAGGCAAAAGAGAACGAATCTTAGGGATATCTATACATGCAAATACAAATATTTCATACACACATACACACACCCCAAAATCCAAAACATGGAACACTTCTATCTCACACATTTTGGATGAGGCATACATAACGTGTACCTTCAAACATTTAGTACTACATGTGAGCTTTACCCTATATAAAAAGTGTGGTACATACGTATGTGTGTTGCATCACATTCTAACTAAATATGTATGACCAGACAATCGTGTGGCAGAAAACTAGAACTAGGAAATGTTATTTCTTTGAACTACAACACTCAGAAGTCCTAAGCCAACAAAGGTACAACCATATTGTATTGTACTGTGTTGTACTATTTTAATACCTGTGGTTCTTTTATATTATTGTACTTTATATGTGCTGTAAACCGACCTGAGTCCCTCGTCGAGGTTGAGAAGGCCGGTATAGAAAACCTCTAAATAAATAAATAAATAAATAAATATTCCTATCAGAATTTCCTCAGATTCCTCCTCACATCTTTCCTCAACTCTTCCACCAGGAATTAAGTTTTGTAGATGTCTACTTTGTCTCCAAGATCTTTCTCTTTTATCCTGTTACCTATGCTCAGAAGGTCACTCCCCTGTTCTCTTTTGTCATGCTTTTTCCCCTTCGCATTTCAAGACTCTCTCTCAAACCCAGTTCTTTAACAGGGGCTGTTTTCCAGACAGAGAACACCGAGAACAATGAGTAAAAAGATGATTTATTTGTATTATTTTATTTTGCCTTGAGTCTTTATATTAGAGAAAGGTGGGATAAAAACAAAGTAAGAAAATAAACAAAAATATAAATAAATAGTTGGGCGAGTGGGCTCATTATTAAAAGACCCCTCCATAACTGAACAGCTGAGTAACTTATCAGCAACAGTGTGGCTCAGCGCCAGTATCCCAAAGTATCCCAAAGTGATAAAAACCCATAGGAGGGTTTTCTTTGCAGTAAAATAATATAGTTGCACTATCTACAATACAAAGTTTCTACAACACAAATAAAGTCCTTTATACTTCCTTATTTCCTTATTTGCTTCCGTGCTGGGCTTCTTTCTTATGCAGATAACCAGCTTCACTCTCACAGAGCCTCCTCTCACACTGAAATTACACAGGAGCTTCACATAGTAGCTTTACACACAGCTTTACACACTAGGCCTTTAACCTGGGGCTTCTTTCACTGATGCTTCTCACACACAGAGGTTTACCTCACACTCCTCAGGGCCACCCTAACTCTAACAGGCTTCAGCCTACTCACTCTCCTAAGGACAACACTAGCTTTCGCCCAATGACTCTAATAGGCTTTGGCCTACTAACTCCTTCAGTGCTTGACTCACACTTTCAGTGCTTGACTCACATTGCCTAGCCAATATTTAATATTTATGACATAAATAAACCCGATTACTCTTTCTGTCTTCTCCAACAATTGTAGACAGGAACCTTTCATTTCTGTGTTCTGGCTAAGACTTCTACACTTCTTCCAATAAATAAAGATTAGGTAGAGCAGAGCTTTCCAGATTATGCGTTGCAACATGTTTGGTGTTTATGTGTGTTACATGAACATAATGAGAAACCTTTAAATGTATATGAAATAAGCAATACATCATATTTTTAAATATATATAAATGAAAGACTTTCATGAAGTATGTTGTGTTCCCATACATTTTATTACTACAGTTTCTGTATGTGTCCGTATCTCTTGTAAGGGGTTAGTTTAACCTGTGCAAAACTGAATTACTGTGTTGCAAAATGATACATGTCTCAAAAGTGTGTCATCAACGAAATGTTTTGACATAAACACCATAGTCCTCCTCCAGGGTCACTGTGAGACCATCCTTTACCTGGGCAGATACAGAATGAAACAGAATACAGAATGCAACCGAAAGAAAGAAGCTTTCCTCCTCCTGGCTTACCTTTGGCTCCCCCTGGGCAGCAAGGCGGGTGCGCAGTGTGTCCAGAGGCTGAACTGTCACAGTGGCAGCACAAGCAGACACTCCACCACAAACAAAGTGCACGCCGAAGTCACGAGCATCGTAAGATGTGGCATGGTGCACCAACTTCGTCAGAAGTTCAAAGCTTACGAACTTGAAAAGAAAAACAAACAAAACCCAAAATGAAATCAGTAGGCTGGATGCAATACACAGTTTCACACCTATAGTCCAACAACTATCTAGCTGGGTCCAACAACCCAGTATGGGAGGCTGAATTATGACGCTCCCCAGTGGTTGTTAAGACAGCAAGTCCTAGCAGGCTGAGCTGCCATTGGTATTGATGAGGAATGTTGAGTGCTGTAATCCAACAACATTTGCAGGTTCCTGCCCTAGCACCAGCACCATAAGGAGATTTTTAAAGTTTTTAAAAATATTTTTTACACAAATACTGAAAAAAAATACAAATGGCAAGTCTCTTCGGTGATCAAGGAAACTAAAATAACATTTTGAAGCAGTGGCTTTAACGCACTGGAAACAGGGAGTCACAACAGCCTTGCAAGAGATAATATCTAGCCATCTGGATTTAATAAGTATTGAGTCAATCCTATATGTGTTGTCGAAGGCTTTCATGGCTGGAATTACTGGGTTGCTTTGAGTTTTCCGGGCTGTATGGCCATGCTCCAAAAGCACTGCAGACTAACTCAACCTGAGAAGTCAGCCATAGCAGAGCACTTGATGACCCAACCTGGACACAGCATATTATTTGAGAACACTGAAATGCTGGAGCACTCTCACAACCACCAGACAACATGTCAGACAACACAGAGAAGCCAATGAAATCCACAAGCATGTGGACAATTTCAACAGAAAAGAGGAAACCATGAAAACGAACAAAATCTGGCTACCAGTACTGAAAAACCCTAAAATCAGGACAGCAAATAAAGAGCAACACTCAAAAAACAGGGGAATTCCAGACAAGAATCAATCAGGACCAGCTAATACCTCCCAACAAAGGATTCCCCTAGACAGGAAACACCCAAGTTTTGAAGCTGCAAGGCATTCAAGGCTATTTAAGGTGGCCAATTGCAACATTCACACTTGCCTTGAGCAGACAAGAGTTCTTTCTCTTACCCGGGACATTCCACAGATATATAAACCTCCCTTGCCTAGTTTCCAACAGACCTCACAGCCTTTGAGGATGCCGGCCACAGATGTGGGTAAAACATCAGGAGAGAATGCTTCTGGAAAATGATAATAATAATAATAATAATAATAATAATAATAATAATAATAATAATAACAATCTTTATTTATACCCTGCCACCATCTCCTCAATGGGGACTCGGGGCAGCTTACATGAGGCCAAGCCCAGACAACATATTACAGCAAAATAAAACCAAAAACATAAACAACAAACAACAGCATCATAATTACATAAAAACATATGAATACAATAACAATATAATATTACAATAAACACAATCATGGTCATACAGCCCAGAAAACTCACAGCAACCCAATCCTATATGTGTTAATTCAATAATTTACTGAATACAATAATATAAAATCTGACTTACACAGTACTATAATTATATTGAACTTCAGCATATCCAGACCCAACATGGGTGGAAAGATTTGGAAAGGAATATTAGGTGCATTTTTTACATGTTGCAACTTTGCAAAAATAGATTAAATAGCAAAAAAAAGTGTGTCAATTTCATAGCTATGGCGAAGTGACCACAGGAAAACAGAATTGATGGGGAAAATAACAAAGAAGCCATAAAATTCCAGGGCAAACACCTAAGCCACAGTGTTTCCTAATCCTTACTTGGACAGCTCCATAGCATATTGAGAGGAGCTGAGCAGGGACGTGGCCCTTCCAGAAAGCTCTTGGCCCTTCCTCTTTTTGAATTGTCCAAAATGCCTGCCAAATACCATGATACTTGGCCTGTGGGTTTCTGGATGACAGTTGCTCTATCTGAAGCTGAAGGAAGACAAGAGATGGTTGTAAAACACATTGGTACATCAGCAAGATTCAAAACAAATTAGAGTTGTGAAGTTTCTGACCGATCCTTCACTTTAGTTTCTTATAAAAGTTAGAATTGTATACACCAGTATTGAATGGATCCAGTACTGCAGCTGAAAGAGTGGGTTTATATCCATGAAAGCTCATGCAAGAAAAAAAAACTGATTAGTCTCAAAGGTCCTGCCACATTTCTTTTCTTATTTTTTCCCCTCCCCCTCCTTTCACCCTTTTATGTTACAAGTGGCTAATACAGCTACTTATTTGGAAACTTGCACCTCAAGACCTTGTACCCTGTTTCCCTGAAAATAAGACCTAGTAAAGGTTTTGCTGAATTGCTAAATATAAGGCCTCCCCCAAAAGTAAAACCCAACAAGGTTTTTGTTTGGAAGGTCCCATATGACAATATGGCTTATGTTTAATTGCAATTTTTACTTTCTTAACGTTTTTAACTATATTGTAATAGCTATATTTTTAAGGTGGCTTGAATTCCAATCTGGGAGGAAATCAAAATTACTTATCAAGGGTTGTATTTTTTTTAAAAAAAAAAATCTGATTTTTTTCCCCCCAAAAATAATTTCTGCCATGAATTCAAAATTTCCAGAAGTTTTACTATCTCTGGACTGGCACACGAATTTCCCCAAAACAATACCTGAAAACGGATCTTCAAGACATCAAAGGGGCTAATAAGTGCTCGAGTGACCAACCCAGATGCGGATCCACCTGCTGCGATTTCCACCGTAGAAAGGGATGAGCACTTGGAATCTGGGTCATAGCCAACCATCCCTCCGGGGCCCACAGGCAGCTTCAATATCCATTCAGTCCTTTGGCCACTGATGCTAAAGGGAAAAGAAAAGAGGAAGAGGCTTGAAATTATGCTTCCAAGTGTCTGGGTGGCAGCTGCAATCAAGGAAAGAGACCAGACACTGAACTCTGTATATGAACTGCTTCTAACAGCTTTTTCAAACCAGAAATGAGTCCAGAACTTACAAGCTGCAAACTTCTATTAATAGAGGTTGAGCAGCTTTTATTCAAAATGCTTAGGATTAGTTTTTTCCCTCCAAATTCGGATTTTGGAATATTTGCATGTACACAATGAGATATCTTGGACATGTGACTCAAGCCTCAACATACAATTTATTTATGTTTCATATACACCTTATACAGATAGTGTGAAGGCAATTTTAAAACACAATACAATTCTTCAAATAATGTTGTGCATGAAATGTAGATTCCGTACACTGAACTATCTGAAAACAAAGGTGTCACTGTGTCAGTCAAACATGTGAAACAACCTGTAGTTTAATTATATTTTAATGTTATATTTTGGTATTTTTAAACATATAGAATCATAGAATCCTAGAATCATAGAGTCATAGAATCATAGAGTTGGAAGAGACCTTGTGGATCATCCAGTCCAACCCCCTGCCAAGAAGCAGGAAAATCGCATTCAAAGCATCCCCGACAGATGACCATCCAGCCTCTGGGATTCTTTTCTTGGGGGAAACAGTGACTGAATAAATGAAGTTAATTAGAGCTGGATTTAGATCTACTCCCAAAATAAGTGTGTTGTCTGCATTGGAACAACACTGTGTCCAGTTCTGGGCACAATTCAAGAGGGATATTGGCAAGCTGGAAGGTGTCCAGAGAAGGGTGACCAAAATGGTCAAAAGGTTTGGAAGTCAAGCCTGAAGAGGAAGCTGACTTTGGAAAAAAGAAGGAAGAGAGGATAGTCAGGTTGAAATATTAGAAAGGATGTCCCATTAAAAAGGCGGACACCTTGTTTTCGGGTGCTCTAGAGCAGGGGTCCTCAAACTAAGGCCCGGGGGCCAGAAGCGGCCCTCCAAGGTAATTTACCTGGCCCTTGCTCAGGGTCAACCTAAGTCTGTAACGACTCAAAAGCACACAATTCTATCTCAACAATCCTATCTCATCAGCCAAAAACAGGACTACACTTCCCATTGAAATACTAATAAATTTATATTTGTTAAAATTGTTCTTCATTTTACTTATTGTATTGTTCTTAAGTGGCTTTTGAACTACAAATAAGATATGTGCAGTGTGCATAGGAATTCATTCATGTTTTTTTCAAATTATAATCCGGTCCTCCAACAGTTTGAGGGACTGTGACCTGGCCCTCTGTTTAAAAGGTTTGAGGACCCCTGCTCTAGAGACTAGAACACAATCAGTTCAAACTTCAGGAAAAAAGTTTCCAACCTAAACATTAAGAACTTCATGATGGTAAGAGCCGTTCAGTGTGGAATATGCTGTTTCATAGTGGGGTTTCCTTCTCTGGAGATTTGAAGGCAGAGTCTGGGTGGCCATCTGCCAGGAGTGCTTTAATTGTGTTTTCCTGCATGGACTGGATGGCCATGAGGTTTCTGGTGACATGATCCCCTCCCAGTGATAGGGTGCATTTAGACAGGCCTGGGTAAACTTGGGCCCTCCCTCCAGGTGTTTTGGACTTCAACTCCCACCATTCCTAACAGCCTCAGGCCCTTTCCTTTTCCCCTTCAGCCCAGGCCTAGTTGTTCCTTCAAGGCAGAACTGAATGAGACTGGATGGCCTCTTCCAACTCTAAAGGTTTCTGAGGGGAAAGCGTTGCCCCTGAGCACGTCCAGAGTGCTCTAAATCCCCAAGGTCGAAGAGGAGGCTTCCTTCAGGCAGATCCCGCCTATCTGTGATGAGGGGGAAGGGGCTTCCGTGACAGAGCCCTCCTCCCTATGAGCCCCACTTCCCTGCAGCTAAGGCAACGGAAGGAGAGAGAAGGAAGCGCGACCCCAAGCACGCGCCGCGACTCACCCGTCCTGCGGGTCCGTCGGCCAAGGAAGGCAACCGCCAATCGCGGGCCACGCCGCCAAGCATGACGTCACAGCCGCCCGGTCTTCTGGGAAATGTAGTCCGCAAGATGACGAGGTGGTGGGCAGGCCATCCAGGAAGTCGGGCAGATTGGGGAAGCTCGCGCGGCCACTCTTGGTATTGCGTTTGTGTTGAGATCAAGGCTATGGGTATCTCGGGAGTAGAACCTTTTTTTTGCAGAGAGGGCTGGTGCCGGACTACAACCCCCATGATTCCATGGAACCAAGGCAGCTCAGAGTGGAATTAACTGTGCTATTATCCGGGCGGAGGCCACTAGGGGGCGCTAGGCAGAGAAGGATGGCCCATTTTAAGGGGGAGGGGGGTTTGGAGGAGGAAAACCACTTCCCCCTGCTTTCCTGTTATTTCCCCCACCCATGTGGTCCTGGTGGAAACAACCCTAGTGTATGAATTAGGAAATAGGGAAGGGGAACAACCAGCAAAAACGGGGGAACTCCTTCAGCTCCCCCTTACATAAATCATAGAATCATAGAGTTGGAAGAGACCTCATAGGCCATCCAGTCCCACCCTCTGCCAAGAAGCAGGAATATTGCATTCAAAGCACCCCTGACAGATGGCCATCCAGCCTCTGTTTAAAAGCCTCCATAGAAGGAGCCTCCACCACACTCCGGGGCAGAGAGTTCCACTGCTGAACGGCTCTCACAGTCAGGATGTTCTTCATAACATTCAGATGGAATCTCCTTTCTTGTAGTTTAAAGCCATTGTTCCGTCTCTGAGGCAGCAAAAAACAAGCTTGCTCCTTCCTCCCTGTGGCTTCCTCTCACATATTTATTATACATGGCTATCATGTCTCCTCCCAGCCTTCTCTTCTTCAGGCTAAACATGCCCAGCTCTTTAAGCCGCTCCTCATAGGGCTTGTTCTCCAGACCCTTGATCATTTCAGTCGCCCTTCTCTGGACACATTCCAGCTCGTCAATATCTCTCTTCAATTGTGGTGCCCAGAATTGGACACAATATTTCAGGTTTGGTGTAACCAAGGCATAATAGAGGGGTAGCATGACTTCCCTGGATCTAGACACTATGCTGCTTTTGATGCATGCCAAAATCCCATTGGCTTTTTTTGCCGCTGCATCACATTGTTGGCTGATGTTTAACTTGCTGTCCACTAGGACCCCAAGATCTTTTTCACACATACTGCTCTCAAGCTACGTGCCCCCCATTCTGTATCTTTGCATTTCATTTTTCTGCCTAAGGGGAGTACCTTGCATTTTTCCTTGTTGAACTTCATTTTGTTATGGACTAGCCTCTGTCTTGCGCCCCCTTGTGGCCTCGCCTGGAAAATGGAACAGTACCCACCTGGGGAACATATTCTGCGATATGTACTGATTTGTACTTGGCTAGCCTTGGGTTATACTGAGCTATACTGGGGCCATATCCCATGTTCTATTGCGCTATACTGGGGCCATAACCCTTGTTGGGAAAGTGGGCTTATTAAAAAAAGACCTTCCCCATTTTTTGTATCAGGAGTGACTTGAGAACCACTGCCATAATTGCTATTGTAGTTAGCCATCCCTTTCTTTCCCTTTCATGCTATCATAGCATGTAACAACCTGTAGATATGGGGGATATAGGAAGTTGCAGCCTACTGAGTCAAACCATTGGCCCTTCTAGCTCTACATGGAGTGGCACAAACACTCAAAAGGGGTCCCCCCTCCCATCCTACCTCTCTTTTGAACCAGAATACCCCACCATCTGTCCTCAACCATCGCTTTTCCTGTGCTTGCAGCTGAGCAGGTATTTTTTCTTTAACAGCAATGTAACTGAGTGTCGTCCCCCAGTGGTGCAATGGGTTAAACCCTTGTGCCAGCAGAACAGCTGACCAAAAGGTCAGCGGTTCAAATCCAGGGAGAGCAGGTTGAGTTCCCTCTGTCATCTCCAGTTCCCCATGTGGGGACATGAGAGAAGCCTGGGCAACGTCCTTGCCAATTCTCTCACACTAGAAGAGACCCTCCCCATGAATGTATGGCAGAATAACTTATTAGTAGCAGCGTGACCCAGCACCTGAATCCTAAAGTAATAAAAAGAACAAAAACACACAGACAAATGTTATCTCTTCCATAAAAAGCTTTTCTTTGTAATAAGATAATATCATTGCACTATTTACAGTAAGAAGGTTTCCATTACACAAATAAAGATCTTTATACTTTCTTCTTGCTTCCATGCTGGGCTTCTTTCTCCTGCAGATAAACAGCTTTGCTTGCGCAGAGCCTCCTCTCACACCAAAGTTACACAGGAGCTTCACACAGTAGTTTTTTACACACAGTCTTCATACTGGAGCTTCATTTCATGATGGCCTCCAACCTGGGGATCTCTCACCAAAACTTCTCACACCAGGCCCACTCACATTGAGGCCTACTAATACTGAGGCCTGCTTCACATTGAGGTCTTCTCACACTGAGGGCTCTCTCAGACTGACACCTTCTAAAACACTGAGGCGAACTAACACTGAGGCCTTTTCAGCTACAGGCCAACCTGCTTATATTGAACTGCAGCTTTTGCCGAGATTGCATCCATTTGACCCTTTCAGTGCTTAACTCACATTTTTGTAATTAAAAATACCTAGTTAATTTTTAGTATTTCTGACAAGATGCGAGCTGGGGACAGATGGGTCTAAGAGCTGTCAAAAGGCATGAAAGGTGGCCTACTGCCCCTGCTCTTCTTGACAGTCTCCTGTCCAAGTGCCAATCGGAGTTGGCTCTGCTTAGCTTCCAAGATCCAGTGAGATCTGATACTTCAGTACTTAGGCTGCATCACACTTCATTATAAAGCCTTGTTAAACGTATCTCTCATGTCTCATGAACTTGATGTCTCATAGCAATATGTTGGGACACATTCATGTCATTTCCTCCTGCACATTAAGTAGTCTTTTGCATAAACTGCTCATTGCATATTGTTTTTTCTCTCCATGTTCACAGTGAGAACCAGGAAACGCAGCTACCTTCAGGCTATGCAAATACTTTTCTATACTCTCTATTGATTCCCCTAACACTGTCACAGAGAGGAGGTGATCTTAAGTTACAGGAAGGTCGATTGTGGTTGAACATTAGAACAAACTTCTTGTCATGAAAAGCAATTCTGCAAGGAAATCAGTTACAGTACCTGGAAAGGTGGTGGGTGGGCCCTCCTTCTCTGATCATCATCAGAATCAAGCTGGACAAGTTACCTGCCAGGAATGCTTTAGCACTGAGCAAGATGTTGGACCGTGGCCCATGCGCTTCCCTCCAACTCTATAGGTTTTTTGAGGAGTTTGTCTTTGCTTTCCTTTGAGACTGAGGGCCCATCCACACAGCCATATAACCCAGAATATCAAGCCAGATAATCCACAATATCTTCTTTGAACTGGGTTATCTGAGTCCACACTGCCATATAATCCAGTTCAATGTGGATTTTATACAGCTGTGTGGAAGGGGCCTAAGAGACTATGACAGAGTGTTTTCATAGCCAAGCAGGGATCTGAATCCTGATCTCAAGAGTTGTGGGGCTCAAACCACTTCCCTACACTGTCTACGAATTTCTTAAGCCAAGATAAAACACAGTTCACAATGTCATATGTTCTCAAGATGTACGCGGGTGGATCAAAAAGTAATGCCTCAATCACTCTTTTATTTCTTTCATAGCTACTGGACTATCTATGCATGGCATGATAGAGGTAACCTTAATCTACTGATATAGTCATTTCTTGTTCAGATTGACTGATTAGAACCATGAATCTGAAGTTAAAAGAAAGAGTTGTCATTGAATTTCTGGCAAAAGAAAGTGGTGCACCTAAAGAAATCCATACTTGCTTGAAGAATGTTTATGGGGACACTGTAACAGACATCAATATGCAGCGTTGGGTGAAGAAGTTTAAAAGCTGCAGATTCTATTAACTGAATGACGTTAAAACAGCTTTAGAATCATGAGTCACGAAGCAAAACCCTGAATTTTTCTACAATTGTTTTGATGCCTGGATTAAATGATGTAAATGTGTACAAATTGATGGTGAGTATGTTGAATGGTAGTTTTGTGTAGAGGATAGCTCAGGCTATGATCTGTAGCAACTTCTGCTGTAGTGTGTTCATTCACAACATTTTTATGAGATACAGGAGGCAAAACTTTTTGACCCACTCTCGTATAATACATAATGGGAGGAGGAGAGTAGATATAGTTGGCAAAACTGGAGAACTGTTACTTTAAAACTTCAAAATGAAAACATTTACTTAACAGCTATTTCTTACATTTTAAAAAAAACTCACCAGATTTTAAAATAGAGATCAAATTTAAATTCATTGCCCACTTGCATAAAGATTAATTTTGTGCCTAAACCAATTGCTACACATTGCCTCAATACTGAATAAGGATATACAGTAAGAGTGTTGTTGCTGTGGTTACTTGCTGGCTAAATTTAGAGCTTTGGAAATACAAGCTCACAGACAGCCAAGATTTAAAATTTGAGCCATATGTGTTTTGATAGCTGATGGCTTGCCAGCAATCTGCACGACAAGTAGGTATGTAGATTTCTTTCTTAAATAGAAACTTAGGTGGAATGTGACATCCAGAGAGGCTATATTTGTCTCAGAAAGTACATTTGGATGCAAAGCGGAGCACTATTTGTGGAAAGAACAGAGGCGGAGATGACATCAGCCAATGAGCTCTTTAGTGAACAAGGGAACATGCTCAAAGTAACTTTTTCCCCTTCCAATATCTTTTTTTTTCTTCCAGAGATTTAGGTAGGCAATAGTTCAATTGATCTTGTGCTAAAATTTTCCTGCACACATTTCTGTTTTGGAGGGGAGGTGGGGAAAGATTACCTCTAACAGTATGAGGTCAGTGGGTTTGCAGTGATCCCTCCACATGTGCAGAGGTTAGGGCTGCAGAACTCCCTTGAAAGTGGAAAACTGGCAGAAATTTTCTGGATATACCATTATTAATCAAATCCACGATTCATCAAATCTGCAAATTGGAGGACCAACCGTACTGAGAAAAAGCACTGCAGTCCCAGCCAGTAGAATGGATAACATTAAAAAAATTACAAATGGCAATGCTCACATTGTGCAATATTAGCCATAACCACCAGCGCCGCAGTTCAGCTTGGGCTTTTGCAGACTTGGAAGTGCTAGTTAAAAGGGTTACTGGATGTACTTCATATGCTTCAAATAACAGAGTTGTGAGGTGCTCTTTCAAGAAAGTTGCCATCCCTTTTATCTCTCAGGTCACTGCCAAAAGTGGAGGGCATTAGAAGCAGTTTTTGACAGCAAGGAACCAGGTCTTCATCCCGACATGGTCATACTGGGATGAGGTGTTTCTCATTTGTTCTGAGACACTGAATCTGTTTCAACGCAATAAACTGGTCCTGGATGGAGGGTTTGTCTGACACTACAGACACTAAACCAAACAGGTAGCACTGGTCAGTATGTATACTTGGGCGGGAAAATAATGATTATAATAACTTTATTCTTATATCCTGCCTCCATCTTCCCAAAGGGACTCGGGGTGGCTTACATGAGGACCAAGCCCAATATAAACAAGGTTACAAAGGACATGGTTAAAAACATATAACAGCTAAATAAAACAATAAAAGCAATAAATAGAAAACATCATAAAACATAAACCAAGCAACAACCAACCAAGACTTGGGAAAAGTGGGCATGTGCAGATTTGGGGCTAACAGGACAGGGCAAGGGCTAGTGCAAATGCAGGTAGTTGGACCGGGAGCTGGGAATAAAGTGCTGGAGATTCTACTAAAAGAAGAGGGCTAGGTAGAACATGATTAGTAACTGAACTATTCTTTGAAGGCACACTGGAACATCCAAGTCTTCAGGCTCCATTTATGTAAGTTACTTGGTACTTGGCTATCAAAATAAAACAGCATGCTCTATGGCAAATGAACACACACTCACAGACTCTGGGTCTTACATAACCAAGAGATAATATTCTCTTCCCTGTGCTCATGATAATCTGTAGTATTTCACCTCAGATTGAATGATTGACTGGATAGTGCCTTTTCTTCAATGTAAATTGTGAAGACAAAGCCTCACTGGGGCATTCTCACCAACTACTTCTAAGTTCCAGAACTCACTCATTTGAGACGCCCATTGCAATCTAGAACATTATAGTGTCTTTTGGGGGTTATACATGATTTGGATTCACCCCGGTATAGCTGGAGATAAGTACTGTGCTATTTGAGATACTTACCTCATTTGTTGTAGCTTTTGAGACCTTGGTTTTCACCTACAAATCATGTATTAGATGTCACAACTAAAGAAGTATTTTGATTGAGTGAAAATGTCTTTGAAAAATATACAAATTTACTCATTTTTCAGATTTGTTAATGGCTTTAAATTAATAGAAAAAGACACTGATATTCAAGTGGAGAATTCATTGTATATTTATTATTCACAGTTAATTACTATCTACCAAATGCTGCTGCTGAGTTAAAGGATTACGTACATAGGCCTGTTTTTATTTAAACACTGAATTTTAATATATATATATACACACAAGACATAATGTCTGCAAGGCTGTATGATATACACCAATTCCAAAATAAGAAAACAATCAAATGGTCCAAGTGTAGAATGCCATAATTTCTTTTCCAATCATTTTAGAAAGAAAGAGGGACAGTGGGGGAGAGAAAAGACAACTAGGAAGGAAAGGTTGAGAAATCAACATACTACAGGGCAATTTTTTCTTTCATTTGCTGGGAGAAATGGAAATGTAAGGCAGAGTTCGTCTCAGGAATAACACACTTGTAACACTTATTATAAAAAGGCACCCGCCAACACAGGGATTTCTCCATCAGGACAGAACAGGAGACCTCTGTGGTGGCTTTGGGATCTGCTATTGGGATGAAGTTTCAACCAGGTGGCTCAGCAAAAGGAAATAAGGTATTGGCACAAGAGCTCGGGAGGTTGCTCTTTCCTGTCTCAAGTCCAAATCCATTCATAACACCATGAGAATGGCATCGGGTGATTTTCATCAGTGGACATTAGGCTGAAATACAATCCCTCACACAGCCTGCTGTGAACTAGGGTTAAGAAACATGGCTCTTCCAACTACAGTAATGCTGGCATGAAGGGAGAAGGAACCACCAAAACACAGAGACAGCAATTTCCTTTTTGTGAGAACCAGTCATGGATTGCAATAGTGAGCCAGATGTACAAGAGAACAGTTTATCAATAAGCATCATGTTCACACATTCTGTAAGATGCTAAGTATAGTTAAGCACAATGCATTGAAGCCTCCTGGCAATATAAAAACTATAGATTTCACAAGACGTTCCAGACTGTTCAGTTTCTACAACATGGCAGCTTCAAACAATATGCCGTATTTTTAATAGTGGTGCAATCTTCTCTTCCCACTCAAAGGTTCCTGGCTTCAAATTCTGGCCTTACCTCTTATAGAAAATTGTATGCCTTTCCCGCTTGATAATAAAGAGTATCAGATGCTCATACATGTTTTAAAGCTCCATCTGTTTTGTGGAGGTCTCTGCATGTAATAATAAAGCTACAACCCTCCCATTCAATCATTAAATATTTACATAAAAGCAGGAACAAATCTGAAAGCTCTGGACTGTCCTTTTAATGAAAAAAAGGAAACGAGGGAAAGGCACTAATGGAAAAATGCAACAATGTGCTCATCCTCATGCTTAACGAAAAAAAAGCTAACATGGTTAATGAGAACATGAACTGGCTGAAGGATAAGTTTCTCAGAACAGTCCTGCAACTTGTGGGGGGAAAACCATCCACCCTCTGCTCTGGAAATGTGGGAATTTCAAATGGAAGGGGAAAAATAAGGCCCTACCTTACCAAAGAAAAATCCTGAAGGCAAAAGCAGAATTGGCATGTTGTTTTTCAACTGGCTTATGGATCTAGTTCTCCCGAGTCCCCTCAAAAAGACAGGTTTTTGCGTGAATTTAAAATCCACAGAGCTTCCTTGTCTTTCTTTAATGGCATGGCATGGACTTCATGTAGCATTAAGAGGTCATGCAGTGATTTACTGCTGTGTTGGGAGAAAGGATGAGTGAACAAAATATAGCCCCTTAGAAGTAACCAAGGTAATCTACTAATATGTATTTTAATTTAAAAGTTAAGTTTTGGCGCACAAGTTGGACCCTTTTACTGTCCCTCCCTACACAGTTCCATTCTGAGTGAAAAAGTATTTCCCTCCTTGCAGGGAGAGTGACTCAGATTTTATGGCCTGATGACTGGAGATCACTGGCTGCTGTTAGATTCTGAATGTGGACTTTACGGTTTTTCTTGTTTCCTTAAATAATCTTTAATAATTTGCTCTAGATGTTCCGGTTCACCGGGGTCACGTAGTTGCGTGGAAACATGCCTGTTTGTCCGTGGCAGGCTCCCTTCCACCAGTTGGGGTCAGAATTGTCAAGGACCTGGATAAAGTCTCCACGACGGAAGCCCAGCTCACCTTCCTCCTGAGGGTCGAAATCAAAAAGAGCCTGAACGTATGTGGGTTGCTGCAGAGGAAAGGGGAAAAAAGGCAAATTACTGATGCAGTAAACACATTTATTTTAACTTGCTGTAGTATCTTGTGCTTAGGGGTGCCTTAGCTATTTCCAAAGGCTGATACGAACTGCCACTTAGACTACTTATTGAGATCAGTTATAGGTATCATATCTCATCAATATCCAAAACTATATGGCTGTTAAATCTATTTGCAGAAACAACCAGAAATGTTACTTGTTACTAGCAGAGCCCTTAAATGGCTCAGAACCTAGACATCTGAAAGATTATCTTCTAAAATACAAAACCATATAAAACCTGTTGTCATTGGAAGCTCAGCTCCCTGTTCCATGCCCCATTTCCTCACCTTCAGCATTTTAAGTGCCTTTTAGTTGCAGAACTTTGTAACTGAGATATCCTTCCTTGTAGATGGTGCCAGGTTTGATAATCATTTTGGCATCAGGCAGATTTTAAAGAACAATTTGCCTGCTGATGTGCTATCACAAATGCAAGGAGCCTTTCCCTTGCTGTAGCTCCACACATTTTGCCAAAAATGAAGGTCAAGCAATCACTGGAATGAGATGTATGTAGAATAGTTTTGCTTGTTCTTATTTATTTTTCTACCTGTGCAGATTTCCTTATTTCATCCTGTTTTGTTATTGACCATGAGGCTCTTTTTTGCTTTCTACTGTAAATCTGAATTTTACTGTACTTTTTGTGTGTGTAAGGTATGCTCACAAAAAACATCTAGGAAGCCTTCTGCTAAAGGGTAATACAGGTTCTAACTGTGGGCATCCTTAGTCAAAATAAACAGGTTCTATACAATGTACCTAAAGAGTCAAATCAATTGTATTTATTTTTCACAGAAATAATGTTCTGAAGGCATTAAGTCTAAAGAATATCAAGAAGGTAAGCTTAGCTGTGAGGCCACAAATAGAAATGGGTTTCTCTCTTACCTGAGGCACCTGCTCAATGTCCCGAAGGAATATCTGTTGATTTCTGGAGACAGAGGTTGATCTGTGATAGTCTACCAACTCATTTAGAGAATTGAACTTTACCACCCAAAGAAAGTACTTGCCAGCTCCGTCTCGAAGCACCTTAAAATGCTGCACATCGTTTCCAAATCTACAAGAAGGGAATAACAAATCCAGATGTATTTATTCCTCTAAATGTATTACCAGATTCAGCCTTCAATCACTGACTTGTATGTACATACAACTAAAAGTGGCATGCAAATAAGGACTTATAAAACTCCCAAAGAGGTGGCAAAATTATTCTAAGACAAGTCAGTAAGTATGAATGATCGGAATGAATAAATGTGTATTTGTTTTGTAATAAAGACACGAACTGTTTCAAAATTTAATTAATTATTTTTTAAAAAAATGATTGGGTTTTCTCAATTGGGAGGGGGGGGGTGTCTCAGTTGTATCAAAGGCTTATTTATAACAATGAATGAGAGGAAGCCTGAAACAGATCACTTGGAGATGCTAAGTTTAAAAGGCAAAAAGGGAAGTGTTAAGCCATGGGGTGGAAACAATAAGCAGGTCAATCAATAAGCATTCCCCATCACCGCTTGATAAATAATCATTTTATCGTTACAATCAAGCCATTGCAAATTCTGCTAACTACAGGGTGGAGGACAGATATGTTCTATGACTCTTGTACAAACTAGGGAGATAATTCAAATGTGCTGAATTCACACCAACCCAGAATCAATGAGATCTAAAGCAATACTCACTTGACAGAAAGAGAAAAGTCTCCAGGGGCACTCTCACTCTCTCTGATGAGGAAGGCACCATCATGTCTTTGTTTGCCCAACATCTCCTCAGCTTTTGCTCGAGGGATCTTCCCAAAAAACCACCTGAGTAAACAAAAAGGTGGAAGTTAAGCTCAGTTCAAAGTCAATGGAAAGAGCATTTTTCAACATGTCCACACCTGGGTAGTATTCAGACAGAGCAAAGCCACTGAACTGAATCTTGAAGTCACACTCAGAATTTTGGAAATCTTAAGAAGTCAGGGGTGGGGAGACGCATGGAAATCCATAAATACAGCAAAGCCTAGTCGTATCATTACATGACATTCTAGTTGGGGGAAGACAATTGCCAGATCTCAGCAACTGTTCTCCCCTTTCACTTGTGACTTTGGAAGATGCTACCTTACACTGTGTCCCAAATTTTCCCCATTTCATTGGGGGGCTAACATTCCACCTATGTTCCACGGGTCATGAGGACAATTCTGCCATGCTTTAGGTTTATGAGAGGCTTTTTAAAACATGGAAGTAAAATGCAAGTTGACTGAAGCATATGATGGGCATTTTTAGCAAAAGGAGGGTTGGGTTTGCTAGGTGCAACTTACGGGTTGCACTTTGCCTACCAGGTTACTAATATATAGCAAATTACAGCAAAAAGTCATCTCATCTGTGAAATTCTCCAATGAAATATATATACCAATTAAACTGTTTTGCCATTTTCAAAGCTACTAGCCCTATTCTATCATAGAAAGAGACACATTTATATTAACAAAATTGTGCTATTAGCTGCAGCACTGTAAGACTCATGATTAACAAGCTAGGAATCCTTGAGGAACCTTCACTTAAAATTAAAGTAACAGTTAATTGCTTTATTTCACACTTTTGACATAAATATTTTCCATTATAAATAAACAACTCGACTTGTAAGGAAACCAGAAGACAGTGATTTCCAGGGGAGACAAGTGGTGTCACTTTGCCTCAAAAATACCAACAGTGGTTCACAACCTGGAAATATTTTGTTCTGAATATCCTGCTCAGTATTAGTCTAAAGATCTAGCTGAGATGTGGAGCACTTTAGGAATCTTTTGGCTTAATTAGATCAAGAGTCCATGAAACTACAACTCATACATATTCAGATAACTGATAATTCAATTTGGGGATCACACTAACCCATTTAAATAATTTGAACTGGTGTAGCACAATGACTAAAGAATGCAAATAATTATTTGGAAAAGCCCTGAATTAAAACTCTTTTTCTGCCACAAACTGACTGACTAGCCATAAGGAAAATTAATTCCCAGCTTCAGTCAACACTGCAATGGAGGTGGGAGTTAATAATACTGACTTGTCTGATGAGATTTGTTGCAAGTATTATGACTAGATAAAACACAGGAAGAACTCTGAATATTGGAAAGTGCTGCAGAAATGTTAACTATAGTAAATGCATCTATCTATCTTCCACTGGAAATGATCTGCATGAACTCATTATGCTTTCATCACTCTTTCTGTGAGTTAGGAGGGGAAATCTGTTTTTTATTGGGCGCAATGGGAAGCACACAAGGTTAGTGGACTGATTCCCAGCATTATGTCACAAAGCGAGCTGCATCTGTTCATCCTCTGATTTCATTTTTTAAATGTCAGATAATTCAGGGATTGCCACAGAACTTGTTTTTGTATCTGCTATGTATAGTAAATGGCTTAGTCTTTCACATGCACATTAAACTTTCCTGCAAGTATATTAATGATTTAGATTTAGACAAAAGAAGTGGTCCGTCAGCCCCAAATCCCACAGGATGTGCAGATTAAGACTACCTGCTTTACCGCCAGCATGTTTGATTCAGGTTAGAGTACTCAGCTCCACTTTATACTAATGGAGACACACTCAGCAAACAGTTAAGCCTGCAGAGGAACAGTACTGGAAGCTGCTATCTAAGGGTTTATAGTCGGTTCCCAGCAAAGTTCCATTACTCCTTTCCCATATGTACACTGGCCAAGGTTTTTGAATCAGAATCTTAGCAACTATGCTAACCACCACCAGCAAACCTCTCTGTTTGTGACCAGCCATTAGGGAGCCATGCCAGACAGTGTTTGATTGGTTTTATATTCTGTATGTGAAGCTTGTCAAGACAATGTAATTTTAGACAAGTTTCCTTAATATTGATACAAGTCAATTCCAAACCACACAGTAACTCTTTTACTAAAGAGTAAAGCAAACTGTTTGAAATCTAAAGGTTATGCACTGTATCAAGTAAAAGACGGTCTTTAAAACAAGGTAGCTCACTAGGGTAACCTGAAATACCTAAAAGCATTTTCTTCTGGTAAGAAGTGGTACCTTGAGAGAATGTCTTTATTAAACCCTTGTTTATCAATAGGCAAAAGCTTCCATCTCTTATGTTGGTTCCTGTGTCAAAGGCTTTGTTTCAAAGTAGTATTGGACTTACAAGATCTTTCTATCTGGATTGGTCTGTTAAAATAACGAGGCAGCAACCATTTGCTGTGTTTTGATCTCATTTTAATAGTAATTTTAAATAAATGTATTGCCCTTTTACAACTTGTACAATGGACAGAGGAGACTACAAATAGAAGTTTATTTCCACATTAGAATGGAAAACCAACTACAGCTTTTCCTTATGTACAGTTTCCACTTCTTAAAGAGTCTGAATGAATGCGAAAATGTGATGGTAGTTCAGTCTGGCACTTAGTAGTTCAGTACATAAACATGCATTTACTGGGCTGTAAGCTTTAATTGGTAGATTAAATAAACTGAAGCTTTAATTAATCTACACAGACACATTTTAATTTGCAAGGATATCGTTTAAAACTTAGCTTAAAGGTAGTCACCTTAAATACATATTTTCACGAGCAGGATAGAATTCGGCTTATTTTACAAAAAAACAAACAAAAAAGCATAGATAGATAGTGTTGCATAAAAATAAGTGGCACATTCTATCTGATCTTGGACATTCAGTAGGGTCAGCCTTGATTAGCACTTGAGTGGGGGACTGTCAAGGAACATTAGGTGCTATAGGCTATATTTCAGAGGAAGGAATGGACAAAAACACCTCGAAGTATTCCTTGTCTAAGAAAACCCTAAGAAATTCACAGGATGTGAGTCAACAGGTGGATTGAAGGCACATATACACACAAAATGAGTGGTAGTTTGGGACTGGAATGCTTCCACTGGTATAATTGCTCCTGTGAATGCAACTATAAAAGGGGGTGTAGTTTCGCATCCATCAATGCATCCCTTCTCTGGGAAACTTCCTTGACGTAATACAGCAGGATCCCAGGGAGAGAGGAGGTGAAGGAAGCTCTAGAATGAAGCTGGATCTATGTTTCCACTTACTGAATTCATAGGCGTTTTATTCAGTTTCTCAAAATGTTTAATTAATGTTTTGGAAAGATATACTTTATCAAATTAATTAAATAAATATAAGTACAATTCCCACAAAAATCAAATCAGAGCAACTGTCACTGGAATGAGCCAATGGAGTGTAGTGGTTTGAGCACTGGGCTATGACTCTGGAGGCAAGGGTTTGAATCCCTGTTTGGCTACAGAAACCCACTGAATAATTTTGGGCAAGTCACGGTTTCTCAGTCTCAGTGAAAAGCAAATGCAAATTTCCTCGGAATAAATCTTGCCAAGGAAAGTCCCTGATAAGGTTTGCCTTAGGGTGCTCCTAAATCAGAAATGACTTGAAGGCACACAGAAAATAGAATGACTGAAAATTTCAGCAGGATCTGCCTCTAATAACCTCACCCAGTTTTATTTGTAAGCTGCTTTGAAAAGGAACTTGTCTTTTGCTTATGTTACTCTGCAATGTAATGTAATTTAAGTTTTATATTACAATGTGCTAAAACACTGGAGTAAGGGGGAAAAGCACACATGCAAAAATGGCAGGTCTCTGGCCAAATTCAGCCTGCAGTGCTTCCTCATTTGGCCAAATTCAGCCTGCAGTGCTTCCTCATTCTCTGAATGCATTCCTCCTGAAAGTCAAGACAGCTGATGGCATGTTGCAAGCATTGCACAACCACTTGTTCCTTACACAGAAAATTTTAAAAATAGAACATTTTGTGTGAATGTGTGTGAATGTGAATCCAAAAAGGGTTGAACCTCAACTAACTTCTTATGGCTTGAAAGCATCCTGTTTGTAGGGAGATGATGGGGGTAGAGGAGACTAAAGTTAACCTGCTAGTGCTGCTCCTTTCCTCCTGGATTGTTTTTTCAGCACCTTAGATGCAGCATCTTTCAGTGAGTAGTGCCAATAAGAATTCCTCTCCTCTTTTTCCATCAAAGCTTTCTCTTCCCATTCCTTTCCCCTCCCACTCTGCTGTAAAATAGAGAATAAAATCTTATGTGGTGGGTCCACTCTGAAGGCTTCTTCTTCCCTCTAAAGCAGTGGTTCTTAACCTGTGGGTCCCCAGATGATTTGGCCTTCAACTCCCAGAAATCCTAACAGATGGTAAACTGGCTGAGATTTCTGGGAGTTGAAGACCAAAACACCTGGAGGCCCATAGGTTGAGAACCACTGCTCAAAAGAAAGAAATAGCCAGAAAGGCAAGATATATGTTAATTATTTGAGAGTGTTTTTTCAAAACTGCTCAAAAGTCTTCACAATTACATTGAAAACAATTAGAGGGAGGGTTTGATTTGGAGTTTGAACAGGATATTAAAAAGGTAAAGGTTGTCCCCTGACATTAAGTCCAGTCATGTCTGACTCTGGGGTATGGTGCGCATTTCCATTTTTAAGTCGAGGAGCCGGCGTTGTCCATAGACACCTCCAAGGTCATGTGGCCGACATGACTGCATGGAGTGCTGTTACCTTCCTGCCGGAGTGATATCTATTGATCTACTCACATTTGCATGTTTTCGAACTGCTAGGTTGACAGAAGCTAGGGCTGACAGCGGAAGCTCATGCCGCTCCCCGGAATCGAACCTGTGACCTTTCGGTCAACAAGCTCAGCAGCTCAGTGCTTTAACCCACTGGAGCCACCGGGGACTCCAAACAGGATATAAGTAAATGAATAAGATCTGAGTGGGAGCTAAAAGATGTGAAGGGAGACTGAAACAAAGAAATGTAACCAAGATATTGTTGGCAATGGGGATGTAGATAACCTCTGAAGAAATGTGGCCCTTGAGAGGAAAAATGGTCAACAACCCCTGAGTAGTTGCTTAGATTCAATTATCTTACTCAGGGACTGATCCTCAGATTACTTATTTGATGAAATATCACTGACTTCTAAGGGACATAGAGGGTTATGGCATTTAATTGTTTATTTGTAATGCTGTGTTTAACTTTATAAAAGTACATGTTCATAATTTTTAGTTTTATGAGACCCTGAGATAACTTATTAAAGGGTAGATTATAAATGATGTCAATAAAAAGAGTTAGCAACTTTTAGCTAATGTTTCCCTCTGGTAGGCATGTGGATTTTATATGTTCTAATTAGAATTAGAAGCCATTTCCAGCAATGGGAGTTTAAGTTGTTCTTCTTTGGATGCTTTAATTCCTGCATGGCAGGGGGTTGGACTAGATAGCCCTTGTAGTCTTTTCCAAATCTAGGATCCTACTACTCTATTTCTGCAACAAGGCCATCACTGGGTGAAAAAGTAAGCAAGAAAAGAGGGACAAAGGGTAGTCTGTAGACTAGGCAAATTCATAGGTGTTTGCTCAGATGAATAAGAAGGAGAAGGTCAAGGACAAACAAAAAATGAATAGCAAAATTGGATTTCAAAATTAGATTTCCGCTGGAACTATTCCTTCAAGTAAACAGGGCTCAGTATTTTAAAACTGAACCTCCATGCTGCTTTGTATGCCATATTCAGAAAGGTTTCACAGAATGTATTTTCTATCCACAGTTTAATGAAGACAAGTCCCTGTTCATTAAAATATCCTGTATACTGACACCACATCACATTTAACGGAACGAGCCACAGCTCTAGTTCAATTGAAAACAAAGGGATTAAATGTGTTCTAAGTTGGCAACCTAACCTATTATAGTCATTGGTCACTCAGGACCATATAACACATGTGGATATTTTTCATTGGTTCACAAGAAGAAAATCCTCACTGTTGGAGGAAGGAGGTACACATGTGAAAGTATTAGACCAGAAAAGTGTCTAGCATTCTCATAGATCACTCCCTGCAGTGGAATCAAATTTTATACTAGGTGAAGGTTATTTAGTCAGAATAGCAAAAGACAACAACCTGTAATTTAGTGCTGATTCTGCAAGACTAGCTGTGAAGACACTGCTTGAAAATGCAAGCCCACATGATCCATTTCCTTGTTGCCAATGTCAACAATTGGCATTACTACTAATTCACTTCATTTGATGTTAAATTTAGCTTGATGGCATCTGCACCATCCATAAAATAGCTGCAATCTTTCAGATGGGCAAAGTTTATACAAAATTGTACTGATGACTCCCATGAGCATCAAGATGTGTTCTTGACACACACAGGTCTAAAAACATAATCACAATCTTCTGATTTGACATCTTTAAGAAATGGGCACTCAAGGATCTAATGGGGGGACGGGGACGGGACACCCTTCATTCAAGTTGCTTTCAGATTTAAATTCATAATCTAGGATTATTCCTAAAAGGGCTAAGGGTCTCTATGGGTCATCAAGTCTAACCCCCGGCTCAATGCAGGATCCCCAGCAGATAGATGTTCAGTCTTTTTTGGAAGATGTTCAAAGGAGATTCCCCCCGCCTCTCTATGCAACTGATTCCATTGCCAAACTGCCTTAAGAGTCAAGATGTTCCTTCTAATAATCAATATCTATTTCCTGTAACTTCAAATTACTAGGCCTGGTCCTATTCTCACAAAAATACAGGATGTGTGATGTCTGGCTCAACAACAGTCCATGTGAAAAAGATCTTGGGACAATAAGTTGAACATGAACCAACAGTGTGATGCAGCAGATTAAAAAGCCAATGGGATTTTATTTATTTATTTTTCATTTACTGCATTTTTACTCTGCTCTTCTCACTCCATAGAGCTGCAGCAAAAGGAGTATATTATCTAGACAAAGTGAAGTCATGGTGCCTCATTATTCTGCTTTCTTAGACCTCACCTAGAATACCGTGTCCAGTTTTGGGCACCACAGTTCAAAAGGGATATTGACAAATTGGAAGGTGTCCAGAGGAGGGTACAAAAACAATCAAAGGCCTGGAGACCATGCCCTACGAGGAGCATCTTAAGCAGCTGGATATGTTAAGCCTGAAGAAGAGAAGGTTGAGAGGAGACATGTATAAATATGTGAAAGGATGTCATAAGGAAGACAGAGCAGGCTTGTTTTCTGCTGCCATGGAAACTAGGTCTCATAGCAACGGGTTTAAATTAGGAAAGCAGATTCCACCTGAACATTAGGAAGAACTTCCTAACTGTAAGAATTGTTCAGTAGTGGAACTCTCTGCCTGCATGGTAGGGGATTGGACTAGATGGCCCATGTGGCCTCTTCCAACTCTATTATTCTATGATTCTATTATCTGGGACAGAAGAGAATAGGTCTGCTCCTTCCTCTCTGTGGCAGCCTTTAGAGATATTTCAAGAATGCAATCAAGTTGCCACTCAGTATTATTATCACCAAGTGGAATAGCCCTAGCTCCTTCAGTCTTCCCTTATGTTTGGTTCCTATTATTATCTCCATTACCCTTCTCTGAACCGCCATACAATTGCAAATATTCTCTTAAAATGAGGTGCCAAAAATGAACATGGTATTCCAAATGAAACCTGATCAATACAGAATACAGGGTGATTATTACTTCCCTAAAATTGGAAGCTATGAATCTATTAACACAGACTAAAATAGCATTTGCCTTTTTTGCTGCAGTATCACAGTGCTGGCTCGTGTTCTATTTTTGATTAACAATAATCCCAATGTATTACTGTTGTGTTATGTCTCTCTGATCCTATACCTCGGCATTGGATTATAGTATGGGGGACACATGGCTCAGAGTACTAATGTGAAAAAGGCCTACATTTGCCAGTGTTGTCACACTATAACTAATATTAATTAGTAAGTTCTTATTTTAAAATGTAGAATCATTTCTACATCATATCCTTCCTTTACAAAAAGGAAATACAGAAAGATTCTCTTCTTTCAAGGCTTCCTACAGCAGTTGAGGCAGTAAGCATGCCAGACACACAAGGAAATCATGGTATTTTACTTACGGATGTGGTTTCATTTCAATATAATTTTTGGGAATGAAGCCATCTTTGCCATTCAGTTCTGCTTTGTACCAGTTTTGATCACATTCTTCATTCAAAACCTAGAAGAGGGCAAGGGAAGGAGAAAGAAAAAAATCTTTATGTTCTTGACATACTGTTGATATACCAATGTTATGCTACTTTGCTAATAGTCAGTTTCTCTGTTTTTTCCCCATTTTACTCCAACAGCTAAAGAGGTTGAAAGGGAAAAAGGAAGTAACTTAGCTTTCTAAGTTAGGCAATTCTGTGGGATAATTAAACACACACCCTACATGTCATAGTTCCATATTGGTTTTTCAGTAAAGCTTGCCACTGATACTTTGGCTCATGTAAGTCAGCCTCTGGATGTTAACTCATATGCTGAAATTCAGTGAGAAAACCACAGAATGGACTGGATTAAAGACAGTATGTCTTCAGAATCCTAAAACTATAAATGGCTGATTTATCAACTCCATATAGTTAGGTTCTGCTACTTTTAGAAATTATTATATGCTCTAAATAGATCTGCTTTTTAGTTTATGAAGTCCAGTTATGTTGTCTTCCTTCTGGAAACCTATAAATGCCATTTAAAATGTATCATATACCCAGCATTATATTCTATTTATTAATTAAAATATTGATTTATTGCTCTCAATTTCTGAGTTTTTAAAGCAATTAAAAACAAAATTCAATTTTTTAAAGCTAGTTTAAAATTCTCCCTCTACTAAGACTGGCTTCGAACTTTTCACACTTAACCCCAAAAGGGAACTAGTACATTTCTTTGGCAGGGAAGCAGAAAGACTCCAGACATATCTGGTTTCCTTTCCAATTAAAGCAACACATGACAATACTCTTTCCACAAGGAAAATATACATGTTTATAACACAAAAAAAGTCATTGGTACATTTACTAAGATCACGTGCAATTATTAGACCACAATACTTATTCCATATCCTAGTCCAGTTTAATAGTATTCCACTATAACAGGGTTATCAAACTCATTTTTACTGAGGAGCACATCAGCCTTATGGTTGTTTTCAAAGGCCAGTTTGTAATTAAGATTGTATGAATGTAACTATGTTACCCTGACACTGAAAGCCTCGTTGGCCATATAAAATGATGTGGTGGGCTGGATTTGGTCCACAAGCTTTGTGCACTAAATAACAAAGCCATGCCATTTATCAGCAAATATGTGATGGAGAAAATGGTATCACCTACAACCACGAGAGGGTCATAGTTCCATTGCTTAAAAGTTCTTATACAAGTTTTTGCCTTTTCAAAGCCAGTTCTCCTGCATGTTTTAACTGTCACTCAATTAAAATATCTCACTGAATTGTTACTGCATGCCTCAGATTATCTCAATAAATTTATTTATTTATTTATTTATTTAAAAGTTTTGTATACCGACCTTCTCACCTCTCTTGAGGGACTCAGACCGGTTTCCAACCATAATATCACATACAATCAATAAAACATCATAATACATATTACAGTAAAACATTAAAACAGCAATTACAATCAATAACTATAATGGTCAGTCGTCACACTAAAATCGTTGCTCATCATCCTCCATCCATATCTCAGGGTGTTGGCTCACTCGTCGAATGCCTGTCTCCATAACCAAGTCTTCACCTGTTTCCTAAATGTCAGGATAGAAGGGGCGGTTCTGATCTCCAGTGGGAGAGAGTTCCAGAGTCGAGGGGCCACCACCGAGAAGGCCCTGTCCCTCGTCCCCACCAGACGCGCTTGCGAGGCCGGTGGGACCGAGAGCAGGGCCTCTCCAGACGATCTTAATAATCTTGATGGTTCATAGGGGAGAATACGTTCGGAGAGGTAAACAGGGCCAGAGTCGTTTAGGGCTTTATAGGTTAACACCAGCACTTTGAATTGTGCTCGGAAGCTAATTGGCAGCCAGTGGAGCTGGTGTAACAGCAGAGTGGTGTGCTCCCTGTACCCAGCACCCGTTAGTAGTCTGGCTGCCGAGCGTTGGACTAGCTGCAGCTTCCGGGCAGTCTTCAGAGGCAACCCCACGTAGAGAGCGTTGCAGTAGTCTAAACGGGATGTAACCAAAGCGTGGACCACCGTGGCCAAGTCAGACTTCCCAAGGTATGGGCGCAGCTGGTGCACAAGTTTTAATTGTGCGAAAGCTCCCCTGACCACCGCCGAAACCTGGGGCTCCAGGCTCAGTGATGAATCTAGGAGAACTCCCAAACTGCGAACCTGCGCCTGTGCATCAAGGGAATTAAGGGAATTAAAATACTTTTTTATTTACTAATGATCACACCATTTACTATTGGAAACATTGTAAGAGCAATGATGATCTAAGAAACAAAACAATGCTCATCATCAGTGTTAAATACAGAAGTGAAGGGCAAAGCTATGATTAAAGTCTACTGACAAATTTATGTCTGGTGAATTTACCTGAATGAAGACATTCATTAATAATTTTAATTCTAGTAACATTTACATAGTTAACTGTACTGCACTTTATTGTATTATTTATGTTGTAAGCTGCCCCAAGTCCCCTGGGGAGAGGGAGAAAACTAAATAAATAAATAAATATTAAGCCACGCTATGGTAACATTTTCCAAATACAGTAAACCATGGCACTACCTTCCTGTAGTGGTGCAACTGCATGCTGCTGCAAGGCAAGAGTCAGCATTGGCATAAGCAATGCTGCTGGTTGACTCTGCCACTTCAGGCAGGCTTCTGCTGAGAAGCCGGATTAAATGTGCCAAACAACTGCTGGGAAGCATCAACTGTGGTGGGAAACATTGGAGGAGGGTCACTCAGAGACAACAGCAATAGCACCATAGCATACACTTAATATTGCATAAAAGAAGGCCCAGTAAACCTCATTTTGAATACCTTTGAGTATTATAAGACAGCTCAAAATAAAACATGGTATAGTATCAGAAGATGACACTGCTAGGTCAGATAGCTCCCAATGAGTTACTGGGGCACAGCAGAAGGCAACTACAATGTCATTAGCACTGTGGCTAATGACACGACTGAACTCAAGTAGAAAGAATATTCAACGGTTGACAGGCTTGGAGGGGAAAGGAAAGTCTGAAGCTGCACTCCATACATTATACAAACATGGAATGTGAGAAGCATGAATGAGGAAAAGCTAGACACAGCAAAACAAGAATTGGAACATATAAACATTGCAGTACAGTACAGCAGTGCTTTTTCTGTCAATTTGTTGAAAAACATGATGTTTTGGGGCTTAATTGGTAAAATCATAACATAATTTGATGTTTAATAGGCTTTTCCTTAATCCCTCCTTATTATCCAACACTTTTGCTTATCCAACATTCTGCCGGCCCGTTTATGTTGGATAAGCGAGACTCTACTGTACTTAGAATAATAGACTAATAAAGCTGGAAGAGGGCCATCCATTCCAACCCCCTGCCATACCATACTCAGTGTATGTGGGCTAAAGTGGAGAAGAATGGGACATTTTGAGTACAATACAGTGATTTATTCAGAAAGTGAAAATATAAGAAAAAAATCAGGTGGCATTAATTAAAGAGATTGAATCTCTGCAGAGTTAGGAGGATATCGACCACACGCCAAAACAGGACTTCTCGATAGGCAATTGGAATGAAATAGAAAGAAAGGGAAGAATCAAAATTGCAGACCCGAGAATCAAGAAATGAAGTAGGACAACGAATGATTAAATTATGTGATGTCAACAATTGGTTCCTCACAAACACATTCTTCAATCAACGAAAAAGGTGACTGCACACGTGATACCACCTGATGGCCAATATGGTAAACAAATAGACAACAAAATCGGAAGCAGGAGATTGAGAAGCCCCATTTTGTCTGAAAAATCAAGACCAATAAGGATTATGAGACAGACCATGAACTGCTAATATAAAAAATAGAGAACATGTAAAGAAGAAGACTAAACCAACTCTTGTGTGAAATACAACTTGAAAAAAATCAATAACTGTAGAATTTAAACATAACTTAAAGAATACATTTGAACTATTAAGTCTAACTGATTGGGAGCTAGAAGAACCCTGGACTGAAGCCAGGGACATTGTCAGGTAAAAATGCAAGAAGACATTTATCCACTGCCAAAAAGAGAGAAGCCTTAATAGATTCTAAACTATTCAAGTAGTTAACGACACATAAGAAGCAAAAGTAAAAGGTGACAGAAACAAGATCAGAACCTTGAATGCAACTATTCAACAACTATTAACCAGAAAAAGAGAACTACTATAACGAAAATTACAGAGAAATAAAAGATGACAACAAAAAAAGAACAAGAAACATATTCCCCTAGATCCAAGGAACAGATGGCATATCAATAGGATAGATGAGAAGCAAAATTAAAAGGTGCCAGAAATAGGCTTGGAGTCTTGAAGATTAATGATGGCAACAATAACAATTATATCCATCCTCTTATTTTGGGGCTAAAAACCACTTACAAGAAATTTTAAAATGTTTTAGTAAAATTCCACTAGATCAAAAAGTTAACTGGGATTAAATAATCAAGATGTTTAAACCAGGTTAAAACATATACAACGAAAGCGCTTGCACTCCCCAGCACAACAATTAGAAAAATCGACTTCACTTTTTGGTGAAACAGGGCTTATATAGTCAGTCATCACAGCCCTGTCTAAATAGACAAATCTTTAGAGGTCTGCAAAAAGAAAGTAGGAAGAGTGCCTATCTTCTTGGGGAAGGGAGCTCTTGAGCCCAGGGGCAGCCATCCTCTCCTTGTGAGGGTGGGGAGAAAGACCTCCCCAGCAGACCTCAGAGCATGTGCTGGTTTGTAAGGGAAACTACAGATAATCTAGATCTGAGCTTTACTGGGCTTTAGAAGGAAAAACAACAACGGTACACTGAATTGTGTTAGGAACAGATTGGCAGCCTGTGAAAATACTGCAATACAGCCATAACCAGCCCCAGTTAGCAATCTGGCTGCAGCTCTTTACACCAGTAGTTCTCAACCTGTGGATTCCCAGATGTTTTGGCCTTCAACTTCCAGAAATCTTAACAGCTGGCTGGGATTTCTAGGAGTTGTAGGCCAAAACACCTGGGGACCCACAGGTTGAGAACCACTGCT